TAAACCTCTTAGAGAGGGCTGTAAAGCACTGTGAAGTGGTATATACAGTAAATCTAAGTGCTATTGCTATTACTATTTCTCAGCCTCCACAACTTTACAATGCATGGACTGCAACTCCCAGAATTGCACAGCCAGCATTGGGGAATATAGGGAGTTGCAGTTCACACATAATAAACTTGTTGGCATTGAGTAACAGTGACGCACAGGATTTGTGACTTGTTCCTATAACAGCATTTCTACCTATGTTATTCTATTATGTAGCAAGGTGTTTTTCAAAAAGAGGGGACTTCTATAAGTAATTTGTGAGGTGGTACAAGGTAGGGGAAATATCTGGGCTAGTTCAAGCTTTCGGCTTAAGACCAAACTAGAACGACAGGTCAACACATTTATTGCTTGTTTAGTTATCTCATTAAAATATAATCAGAAAAGGGGGCATTTATAGAGAAGAATGATATGCTTTCATGCCTAGCTTTCCCCTAATATAATATCCCAAGTCCTTTTCTAATAACAGGCTGGGGGGGAGCTATATGGTGAGGTAAGCAGTTGGAGAGACAGTGAGTTCCACTTATCTATAAACATGAATTGAGCAGATGTTTACCAGGCTTCACTTATGCAGATGTTTACCAGGCTTCACTATACACCTATAGTCAAGATTCTATCCTTTTAAACAAAAAGGTGGCAGGAAACCAACAATAGTTTTGTTGCCTTAAATTTCTTACATATTCCACATATCTGGGATATATTGTAGCAATAACCTTCTTTCTAACAAATACTATTATTCAGAGTGTCTTCCCACGCCAGAATTCTATTCTGTTCTGTTCTGTTCTGTTCTGTTCTCCATTCCATTCCCAATCCAGATCATCCTTCCTGTACGATGGATGTAATGATTTCAAATCTTGTACAGATGAGGCTATAATGTGTAATCCCAACCTGACATTGTGTGATCCCAACCTGACATTCCAAATGTGTGTTCCTTACTTATTTAAGGGCAACCAGATCACTGAAACAAATAACATGAATGCAAGCAGGGAGGCTTTGCATCTTTTCCTTCTCCTTATCTAAGGTTAGGGGTCACAGGATTTCTTTTTATCCACCAATTAATATGAAACATCATATGAGTTGTCATAATCATTACAGCACGGTCTTTAGTTATATATAATTATGATCCAAGAAGGAGAAACCATTTGAAACTCCTTATTATCAAGGACTCTATGGTTAGGGCAAGTATTGTCCTTGGGTCTGGCTTCAGGATGTGACACTTCAGGGCTGCTGATAAGCGATTGTTGCAGATAGAATTAAATCAGTGGTTCTCAACCTGTGGGTCGGGACCCCATTTGGGGTCGAATGACTATTTCACGGGGGTCACCAAACAAGGCTGTCCGCCATTTTTTCCCCCTTTTCTTTGGCCACACCCCTGGCACCTGGTGATGTATAAGTGGTTGGGGGTCACCACAACATGGGAAACTGTATTATGGGGTCGCGGCATTAGAAAGGTTGAGAACCACTGAATTAAATGAATTGAGGGCAAATTGCTTTAGGCCTCATAAACATTCTTATTTTTTCCCCCACTCCTAAATTCTTACTGGCATAATAGCACTAAGTTTAATTTTAATTTACTTAGATAACACTTATTCAGTTCATCATTAACTCCAGAATTCAATTTATCTGGACCTATTGCAATACGGCTGGGAAATGGGATAGAGATAGACTATGTTGGTGAAAGATCTATAAATTAGGATCCCCACAGGACGTGTGGCCCTAGTAGCTCCCTTGCACATCTCAGCAGCCTTTGATACCATCAGCTATCACATCCTTGAACAAAAGTAAGAAGAGGGCAGTTACTGGAAAACAGATCAAGGGGGATAGTATCTTAGATGCCAGTAGGCAGATTTTATTGAATCCAGTTTGTTCTGGAAAAATTATTTTATCAAGGTTATACAAAACAAAGCAGTTTACACTATTCTTGCAAAACATCAATGCCTAAATGAGATAAGATCAAGTTGCAACATACAATGTATTTTAAACCTACAGCAAAAAGAAACACGTTTTAAAATGAAAATGTTATGATTCTACTTATTTGACGTATAAAAAAGAAAATAAACATGTCACTTAATTTGGAGCAGAATTGCTATTTGCAAAACTGAAATATTTTCACTTTTATGATGGAAAAGCCTGAACTAATTATATTTTTAAAAAATATTACTCTCACATAAAATAAATGGATTATCATCCCTGACATGAACCTCAAAATGCCTTAATATTTTTATTGTTCCTAATTATTAATAATGAAGCCAGAGAAAGAAGTACTACTGACTAAAATGTTTTTATTATAGGTTGCTAACAAATTTACACAGAGAAAAACCAGCTGTTTTTACTTCTTTTTAGGTGAAAGGTTTAAAGGGAAACTCACTCAATCTTCTCTTCTAGGGAAGTTGGTACTAAATCAAAAACTGAATTGATAAATGAAATAAAACTGTTCATGGCTTAGTTGGGAAGATTATTTCATGGCTTAACTTTAAAATAAAGGAGTTGGAACCTGCCATGTGGCTGAGAGTGAAGGGAAAGTGCTGAAAAGATCAGGATGGCAGCCAGGGCCATAGATAGTGTTGGGACCTGAGTGCAAAGGAGGAAAAGTACTGGGGTGACACAGTATGTTGTGTAAGGGCACTGGCAATGGCAACTGAGCAGTGGGAGGCAAATGAAGACACTGAGAAGATGGAGAGAAGGTGGGCTAGTGGGGTATGCCATGCTGGGGACTGCTGAGAGGAGAGAATAGGCAATACCCACTAGCCTTCTTCTACTTGTTGTTAGAATTAGGGTAAACTCTCAATTTAACATTTGTCTTTAAATGTTATTCTGTTCTCCCAGTGGTCTGTTATTGTTATTGAGTTGAATGGATAGTTGCAGAGATGAACATGTGTTCCATTAATACAAAGATACAAATTTAGACTGGTGTTATTCACATTCCATAAAGAGAATGATCCAAAATGAAGAATTTTATGTTAGCAATATGCACATGTCACTATGCAGTGCCTAGATTTTTAGCAGCCATACTCTGCAAGACCACAAATTATTTTTAATCTCCAAAATATTGTTATGTATCTGACATTCCATGCTCTCCATTTATTCTGTTCCATTTTGTTTTGAAAATAGTTTGTGTTTTGAGGGAGCAGGGAGTTACAGAAAATCCCAAGGGGATCATTTAGAGCTGGTCAGGACCAAGCAAGAGAAGTCTCACCAATAAATTCTATTGTGTTGACAATGGGAGCAACCCATCCTGATCATATGGATGATGTGAAATGGATTTCTATATGTAATCTATTACACAACCAAGAGGAAGCGATAATAATGAATGCTTTTTAAAAAAAATTCTGGATGCTAAAACAGAAATATACTAAGTGACCATAATTATTTATTTAATTAAAAACAGAATGAAGAAAGCATGACGGATGGTAAAAGTAATATGTTACAAGAATCCTAAGATTTCATAGGAGCATATTAAACAATCTTTAATGAAATAAATCTATAACAGTGGACAAAAATCTCTGAAAAGATAGTCATTGCCACTATTTCTGTATTTCACTCCTAGAGTTTATTGTGAATTGAAAGCTTAAAAACCTGCTACTGTAGATCCCCATGTGAAACAATTGATTGCCCTAGATCAGTGGTGGCGAACCTATGGCACGGGTGCCAGAGGCGGCACTCAGAGCCCTCTCTTTGGGCACATGCACCGTCGCCCCAGTCCTAGGCCTTCAGCTGGGTTTTATAAAATCTTTTTGCTTTAGGCCTCCGCCGCCATGTGCAAAAACAAAAACTTCAGTCAATTTCAACTTCTCGTGGAAAAAAAAAAGATCTTGCAAAGTTGGAATTGATTGAACTTTTTAGTCCCACCCAGTCTGCTGTTACCACCGCAGCCACACCCACCCAATTGGCCATACCCACCCGGCACTCAACGATGCATAAGTGGGTTTTGGGTTGCAGTTTGGGCACTCAATCTCTAAAAGGTTCGCCATCACTGCCCTAGATTAAAACTCATAATTTCTCTGCAGTATTGAAAACACCTTTTCAAAATTTTTCCCTTGACAACATTTTTAAAGTGGTTTATCATTACCCTCTTCCTACGGCTGAGAGAAAATGAATGGCCCAAGATCACCAACTGGCTTCTAGTCCTATGCCTTCAACCATACATCAAGATGGCTCTTGCCGTGCTAGATGCTCAGCAGTTAATTAACAAAGAGATAGAAAATCAGAATGCAGTTATAGTCCCTCAGCATACATTAGAACATTAAATTAGTATAAGAACATGAGTTCTGACAATTTTATTGCATCTGTCTGACACAGAATTGAAAACACTAAAAATGTGTACAAGGGAGCAATTGGCAAATTATGTTCATGTGTACAGTATGTGTGAGGGAGAGGTGCAGAAAGAGCAAACTTTTCTCTGTTAAACTAAGTTTGTATTAATACATTTATTCTATCTGGCTGGCCACAAATTAGCCACACATGTGGATGAAACCAGATCGAGGGGAAATTCAACTATGGAAGTCATAAGAAAAAGCAAGATGCTATGGTGAAGGGAGACTGCCGATCACAACATTTTATTTCATACTATTGATCCGAAAAAGAAACTCATTTGAATAAGGAAGCACTAAAAAATAAATTGATGGGTAAATTGAAAGGTGTGTTTATGCCCAGGCATCAGCTTGCTGTTTCTCTGTTAAGAATAACCTTTGTGAATTATGTAGATAAAATCTTCCTTGCACATTTGCCTAGCAAAAGATCCCTTCTTATAAAAGCAGAGTAAAACAAAGCATACGCATATATACCAAATAAAACAAAACAGGACAGTCCGGGCCTAAATGTCACTGGGACAGTCAGGAATGCAGCTCTTATCACTGAAAATGTAATGGGAATGGATGTGGTTTACATGGAAGCTGAGGTGTCTTCAGGATTTCCAGAGTGAACAGAGCAAACTACATTAAAGACAGCAGAGTCAATGGAACATTGAAGGGGGACTTTATCATAGCTTTCTCTGTCAAAATCTAATCCTCTTTGTCAAGAAAACTAAAAATAAGTGCTATGCAATTTTGTGGTAAATAGCAGGAAGAACTCACCAACAAAGATTCCTAAAATAGGATTTGCATAAGCAAACCACCCAGTGGGATACAAAAGGAAAAAACAATAACATGCCCACCCAGGTCCAGTGTATCCTTCGCAGAATGGTAAATGATAACATCAGCAATAATATATGTGCAAAATATGCTTTTTACAAACCAGTGTCTTCAACTAATTATTTTAAAACATGTGCTATATTCCCTTCTCAACTAATCTCCCTTTACATCCATTTCCTCTTCTCCAGTCTCCAAACATTAACAGGTGGTCTGATGATCCCAAAATCTGAATTTTGTTTTGGATCAAAACAATTTTGGTTCAGAACTTAATGTGGTCCTGAAGTTGATATGTGTGGGGACACAGATTTTTTTCAACTGCACTATTTTTTAAGACACAAGAATATTAATGCTTACCTTAAGAAACTGTTGCCAGGATAAAGAGGAAAGGGAGGGTAATAAAGTACTTTTCAATCTAAAAGTGCTAAAGGAATAATCTCAATAAACATCGAGAACCCATAAAAGATTAGTCCAGGCATTGTATTTTAAATTAAAAGGGAAAAAAAGAGTTAAATCTCCTTTGAGTCACATTTGGCTCCTGGTGACTTCATGGATACATCCATGTAGTTTTCTTGGCAATAATCAAGTTAAAAACCAGGACTCCATCTTGTGAGCCTGCCGGGGTCGGTAGGCCTAAACTATTGCTTGGAAATATTCTAAACAACCTAGTGATCACATTCTGCGGTTAAGAATAAAATGGCAGCAAGGTTCAACTCTACAGTCTGAATTCAGTTAAGATTCCTCCCAAATCTCTTTCTGGGATACATTACTTCCCGTAAGGAAGTCATTACGTACCACTTCTGAAAAGTATAGGTCCATTTGTGTTAGTAAGTACCTGGAATTCAGTTCTCACAGCACTGTTTATGACATCGGAATCATCCAATGAGATGCAGTATTCCACAAAGTAGATAAGTTGCAAGGAAACTTTCTTAGGAAAGAAGAATAAAATAAATTCCTTTCATTTTTCTCCAAAAGCAGTCAATGCAATGTACCCTCTTCTTTGTATCTTAGCTATAGTCTCAATTCATAAATTAGTCTTCCATCAAATAACTTAAAAAAACTGTAATAGTTCAGTTTCTCTGGCTCAGGGCCAGGGAAAAGTTAGTTTGCCCATCAGAGCTTCTGAATTTGTAAATCTTCACATCAATATAGGTGGTTTCCAGGTGAGCGTTTGTATGTGTGAAAAGATGGCTTAGAAAGAGACTAAGCCAAGATAAGAAGAGGCCCCACTGAACTTCACAGCCTTCATAGGGGACCTCATGCTGCTTGGAAATGCCAACCATTTTCATATTGCACTGGTACAGAAGGAAGTTGCCTCTCAACAGACTGTCCATAGGATCAATGATCTTTGCACATAGGCAAATTTACAAAAGTGAAGACATTAAATTCTGTCATGATGGAGAAACACAAGAAGATTCCATAGAGGGAAAGGCACACAAACCCCAGCTTCTTATCTAACTTCCACTTGTTCAAATGAACTCCAAACACCTAGAAATAGAAAGAAAGTCATTACTACTATATAAATCTAGAGATGGCTCTCCCATATCTATGAACCAATGTGAATAATCTTCTCTCCATTAATCCCTCTTACAAATCAACAGCATTTCTTCTTCCAATAACAACAATCTGGCCTAAGTTCCTTGACAAAGAGATGTTTATGAGAACAGATTTATAATACTGAAATTAAAAAACTGTTCAGTTTCATCCTTGGTACAATCTGATAAGATCCAATTTGCAGGTCTAAATGTTGCTTTGCTTTCCATCTAAACATGGTACTGATACAGTTTGAAGATCAGCCATGGGTATTGCCTCTGTGATTTTTTCCCCTCATGGCCAACATGCCTACGATCGCTTTTTAAAAAATAAAATATTATATACTTACCGTGACAAAAACTGAAGCTAGCAACAAGCCCACAGAATAGATAAGTCCACGACTATTCAATCGAATCTGAAAAATTGGTAGGATATGTTAAGAATCCTGTTATTCACATTATTTCCAATGAACTGTAATTATAATTTCTGTGCAAAAGAAAACTAGCTGTCAGAACTGTATACAGTATTAAGCAAGTCTGTTACGCCACATCTGTAGGATCAAACGAATGCTGCATTTGGAGTATTGCTGGACCCTACCAGGAGGATCAGCTCAAGTCTTCTACACTGTACCCTCTTTCCAAAAGGCCATGGCCAATGAGAAGTTCATAATGCTAGAGAACAAAGGTGATGGTCTTTCTCTGTAGTTTGGTAGTCTGAGATTCATAAGGCATGGATGAGTAATTGTGGCTAAAGGCTCTTGAAAAATCCACCTAACTTAGCCAAATTTTCACACATGTCTCCCTACACTCCTGATACAATAAAGCTAGAAAAGTTTTCTACAAATCTTCTACATTGCAGAAATAACTGGAGAGGTTCAGTCTCCAGTTAATCTGGCACCTGGCACCAAGAACTTGACACTCCCTAGTTTCTTGGGCTGTAAAACAAAGGGGGAGAGCTGTTATTTTCAGGCTTGCAAGATTCTGTAATCTTACAGTAAAGTAAGATGGTTGTGCTTCCTGTCTGAACTATTTTGCAAAGCTCACATTGTGTGAATAAAGCAAGGGTGACTAATGTGTATATTGCTCTGGCTAGCATTTACAAAGACATATTTGAAATTGCTTAGACATGAAGTACCAGAAAGCACAGTGTGTTCTGGGATTTGGGTAGTTTTTGCAGGAAGAATGAAATCAAGGGCTTTTCTCTAAAACACAGTTTGTCATGTTCAAAGACTGCTTAGTTGCCAAAGGCAAGAGTTGCTCTTATACAGAACAGAGTTCTATTTTTTAAGAAGTCTCTTGCTTCAATTCAGGTCTTTTCTTCTGTGATTTAAGTGCTAAAGGCAACAGCTGTTCTTACATGGAACAGTTGCATTTTCCCTTTTTTGTATTTTACCTAAAGAGAAATCTGTAAAAAAAACCCTCATGCTGAAAAGACTTTCAGTTCTTCATATTTGCTCGAGGAGAGAATGATAAAGCCCGCCAGAAAAGGAAACTTATGCCTTATCTGAAGTGTGTGAACTTTGACTTCTCATTATCTCATGATGGGATTCATGATATGACGTAAGAAAGTCAAAAATGCTTAACATCATGCCAAATGTGTCCAATCTATCCAACTCAATGACTTAAAGAAATGGATGCTAACCTGCAACTTCAAGGTTTTTTCCTTGCTGTAGAATCATTTTCCACGAGCAGCAAATAACAAGTTAAAAGTTATCTAGCTATCATTACTCAATACCTTGCTTAATGACCATTCATTCAGTGACCATTTGAAGTTACAATGACACTGAAAAAGTGATTTAGGACCATCACAACATCCCTGTGATCATGTGATTGTAATCTGGGCATTTGGCAACTAGCTCGCCCTTATGCAGTCATGTGAATGCCATTTGCGACCTTCCCAGACAGCTCCCGACAGGCAAAGTCAGTGAGTAAGCTGGCAGGAGGTTACAAGTCACTTGATGTCTTGCTTAACAGCATGGGTGATTTGCTTAATGATTGTGTCAAAAAAGGTTGTGAAATTGGATGCATTTATATGATGCCTCACTTAACAACTGTACCACTCAATGACAAGCTTTCCAGTCTCACTTGTGATTGTAAGTCAAGGACTTATTGTACTATAATTTTATGTTTCTATTGGGTAAAATGGAAAACTCTATTTCAGTTTCAGGTGTGTTGCTTTGTTTGATCATTCCCTTTAAGCTTTAGAAGCCAGAATGCATGTTGCAGAAGATGAATAAGCAGGGCTTTTTTTTCTCATAGAACGCCCAGAATGGAGTTCTGGCACCTTTTTTGGATGGAACCTTGTAGGGTAGGCAAGGCAGGTTGTATGACGTGTGTGTGTTCCGGCACCTTTTTTTTTTTTTAGAAAAAAAGCACTGTGAATAAGCATAAATAAATAACTGTTTGTGGTGGTGCACTGTTTAGATTTCTGATCCTCCTCTGATATATTGACCAGTATACTTAAGGACTGGACTAGGTCTGGGAAGAGTTTAGTCCAGTCATGGAAATTTACGACATGGCTTTTAGCCAGTCACTACAGGTAGTTCTCGACTTACAACAGTTCATTTAGTGACTGTTCAAAATTACAATGGCACTGAAAAAAGTTGAGTTATGACCATTTTTCATACTTACGACCATTGCAGCATCCCAACGGTCATGTGATGAAAATTCGGATGCTTGGCTAACTGACTCATATTTATGATGGTCGCAGTGTCCCAGCAGTCATGCGATCCCCTTTTGCGACCTTCTGTCAAGCAAAATCACTGGGGAAGCCAGATGCACTTAACAATCGTGTCATCAACTTAACAACTGCAATAGTGTCAAGAAAGTTCGTAAAATGGGGCAAAGTTCACTTAGCAAATGTGTCCCGTAGCAGCAGAAATTTTGGGCTCAACTGTGGCCATAAGTCAAGGACTACCTGCATTTCTCAACCCAGCCTACTTTTCATAGTTGTTCTGAAGAAAAATTGGAAATGGGAACACTAGGCTGCTTTTGAGGAAAAGTTGGATAACAAAAACATGAATGAATTTTACAACATAGCATAACCAACCCATGGATAAAAGAGGAAACAAACCAGAAATAAGGTACCATGTATGAATGTAATAAGATGCTGTGTATGAACTTAGGATAATCATTACTAACCTCATATAGAAGCCCATAGATCTATCTACCCGTTTATTGAGCTTGGCTGCATAATCTTCTGTGCTACTGCTCCTATCTAGACTACGCAAATTCACCCTCTACTTCTGCATTAATTTATTTTGCTTCCAATGGATATTTGTCTAGCTTCTTCAGTCAGCTTGCATTAAGATTGGTGTTGCTTTTTCCCAGGCTAACTTAGATTCATTTGATACAGATTACAGTACAGTGTTGCCTTCAGCTTGCATTTGGCTAAATTGCATCTCCTCCATTGCCAATTTGGTGTGCATTACACATGCATTCCAGATTTCCTTCTGGAAACTGCAATTATACGGAAAACTATGTTAAATTTTCAATATTTCACACTAGATTAGCATTAGATTAACATTCCCTTTGGGAGAATATAGTTTAAGTACAATATGGACAGGACAAAAGTTTAAAAATAACTTTTTAAAATAAAACAAAATCCATCAATCAATGTACTGTAAGCTTGTTTGATTGCACTTCCCAATCATCTGGCAAAATCTAAAGAAGAGGATAGTTCAGGGGTAGACAACCTTGGCTCTTTTATGACTTGTGGACTTCAACTCCCAGAATTCCTGAGCCAGCATGGCTGGCTCAGGAATTCTGGGAGTTGAAGTCCACGAGTCATAAAAGAGCCAAGGTTGCCTACCCCTCGGATAGTTGATCATAGATCACAAGTAAAAGAAATCACAGTTTAAACTGCATCGCTACAGATGAACAAAATTACAGTGTAGAATGAGAGTGTAATTTGCACATGTATCTTCTATAAAAGGGCTTTTCAACCAGTGGTACAGGTACCACCTGTGGTACATTGGCACCTGGCAGGTGGTACACGACCATCCTAGAAAAGTGGTAGCAGGGGAAAGGAATGAGCTGAACTGGTGGCAGCATTGCACAAACCTGAGCGAGATGGCTGGAGCTGCAGGACTGTCAGGGCTCAGTGGAAGCACCAGGATCAGCGCCAGGCTCCAGCTGGAGCTTGGCGCTGATCCTGGTGCTTCTGCTAAGCCCTGAAGAAGCACCAATCAGCTGGAAAGCAGCACTTATCCTAGTGCTTCTGCTGAGCCCAGAAGAAGCGCCGATCAGCTGGAATGTTGCAGCACCTCCAGGACCTTGTGATTTATATTCAGATGCTTGGCAATTGATTCATATTTATGACAGTCACATTGTCCTAGGATCATGTGAAGTGACCAAAACCTGCTGCAACCACCCAACAGGTGGGGGGAATAAAAACCAAACACCTCCACCCCACCCCCACTGCTAATCCTCAACAGAAATGCTCAGAACAATGAAAACCTCAGACAGGAGAAAGAGCGCCATCGGGTGGGCAGGCAGGTGTCTTGCTCAGCTGTGGCTTGGGGGGCACTTTTTCAATGCCATTGTAACTTCGAAGAGCCACTAAGCGAACTGTTGTAAGTTGACGACTACCTGTACTTTATCACTTTTTTCCTTTTGGGGGGGGGTCATCAAGTTTTTGACACCTTGCTAGGCAACTGGTGGTACTTGGATGTTGCCATATCCTAAAAGTGGTACAATGGGTGAAAAGTTTGAAAAGCTCTGCTCTATAATACATCTGCCCATTTTGGGGTGGGCATCTTTGTTACTTAATGTCATATTCCATAACAGATACACAGTACCAAAAATCTTAAGATTTTATTGGATTTTCTTAGTAACATCCACTTTGCAGAAACAGTACAAGCACACCTTTTTCAGGGAAAGTGTCCCATATTCTAAAATGGGAAGCAGCCTAGCCTAACCATGGGCTGATCCAGTAACAGTCACCAGGAATTTTCCAAGATTTAAGACTGAGTCCCTCCTAGGAGCTCCTTCTTGCAAAGCAGAGGGGCTATGCTAAATTCCAGCCCTTCCCTTCAGCTCTGAGAAACTGGCAGACATTCTGTGGGGAGTAGGAGTGGAGCCTGTAGGGAAGGCCCTTCATCCTGGGGATGAGGAAAACATCTGTACTCGGCCAAACTGGGAGCTCATTTTGTCTGCACTTCGTTGATCAACTACTTCTTTCCTCAACTAACACAATACAACTTTGTTCATTACTTCAAATGGATGCTGCACAAATGCTCTTATGCCCTGAGGGATGCAAACGTGCCTGGTTGCATATTCAATTAAAAAGTGACAGTATCAGCCAGCAAATATGAGTGAGTGGGAGGCCCTTGCAAGAAGCCCATCGCAATACAGAGGCCTAACCTTAAAATGGAGGGATATTAAAGTCAGTTCAGTGAAGTGGTTAAAGTGCTGGCGTAGAAACCAGGAGGCTCTGAGTTCTAGTTCTACCTTAGTCATGAAAGCCAGTTTGGTGACTTTGGATCAGTCACTCTCTCTCAGACCAGTTCACGTCACAGGATTATTGAGGTGGGGAAAATAGGAAGGAATATTAGATATGTTTGCTGCCTTGGATTATTTATAAAAATAATAAAAGTGGGATTAAAAATATCTAATTAATAATAGCATTAGGTCAACTTATTTTACAAGGTATAAAATTGTTCCACCTGAGGCTAAAACCTGAATAACTTAAGTCCAAAGAAGCTGTCCAAGACTTAAAATAGCATCTGGCATCAGCCAGAGATGGAATGAAGAACCACAAATCAGGATTAGAACAGGGTCTCTTGTGCGGTCAAGAAGGAGGTTAAGGAATTGTTAACTGTTCAGGGTTCATTTTGGAAAGGAAGTTGACTTTCAGTCAGATAAACAAGCAAATACTGTATTTCCCATGTTTTCCTACAGTAAGGTAATATAGTACCACTCAATTTAGCTTGCAGCCCACCCCAGACTTTGCTGCATTGTTACACAGAAGAACCTATCATATCTTCACATTAGAATTCCCTACTATATACAAAAGCATTGTTTTTCTAAGCACTTGTACACCACAGATCAACCCAAGCTTTGAGAGTGGGAGAGGTTCATGTAGAAATAAGAGACATGCAATCTTGAAGCTTTGCTTAATGGTATATACTGTATAGAGTGCCAATTTGGTCCAGTGGTTAAGGCATCAGGCTAGAAACCAGAAAGAGACTGTGAGTTCTAGTTCTGCCTTTGCCCTGAAAGCCAGCTGGGTGAACTGAGCCAGCCTAACTCACCTCACAGGGTTGTTGTTATGGGGAAAACAGGAGGAGGAAGGTGTATTGAATATTTTCACTGCCTTGAGTTATTTGTAAAAATAAAAAAGGAAGGATATGAACAAACAAATAAATAAGGATTGGGCTAGGCAACCATTAAATTTCAAAGGGGGAAAGGTGGATTCAAAGCAGGCATTTCATGCCACAGAGCACCTTGTGAAATCAGGACTCTGTGATGGATATGCATACTTACAAAAAGAGGCAGCTTCTTTGAGGAATTGCCAATTGGTGGAACATATGCACTCCAAATAACCTTTTCCTTTTTGAATCCAGATCACTGTGCAGTCCAAGCCTACCCTCCCCCAAAAGCCACCCCCAAGCACCAATAAATTGTATTAGTCCTATAATCAGCTTTATCTCCCATCACTAACATCACACCCCACATTTCCATTTTGAGAAACCATCACCACCACCACCACCACCACTCAGCATTTTCTGTTGAATTGCTTAGAATGTTTTGAAAAATCATAGTGATTTTAGATATAATCCTGAGTTAGGAAATATGACACATTCTTGCCTTTACTTTTACACTTGCTGGCTAGCTTCCCTGCCTGTCATTGCTAGCTCTGCTCGCTAAACAGGAAAAGTATTTCCAGATAAAATAGGCCATACGGTGTTTTACTTCTTATCTTGGCTTCAAGAACAGTTAGGGACTAGTTCTTAAATTGAAAGAGGTGAATCAGGGCATTATGGCTCATGGGTTATGGCTCCCTTCGCAGATACCTACGATGCCCTTGAACACTTATGCTCACTTATGGCAATCAAATACTTCCTTAATTGCACTTTTTATTCAGCTGCTCTCTCTGTGGGTATGCACGTATCTAGGTTCACATTTGCGGGGATTTACTGTACACTGACAACCCCTAGCTAGAAGATAGGAGAACTAACTAAGAGAAAGGCTAGAGAAGCATGCTAGTATTTCAATAGCAATACCAATAGCACTTAGATTTATATACCACTCTGTAGTGCTTTACAGTACTCCCTGGGCAGTTTACAATGTCAGCATATTGCCCCCAACAATCTCATTTTATCGACCTCAAAAGGATAGAAAGCTGAGTCAACCTTGAGCCTGTCAGGATCGAACTCCTGGCTGTGGGCAGAGTTTGCCTGCAATACTATGTTCTAACCACAGCACCACCAGGGCTGAAAACTATTTTTCTCCCCCCAAAAAGTGCCTTTGGATGGGCACAGTTCTCTCTTCCTGCCTCTTATATAATATATACACACATATAACCTGACTCCTATGAGTACATCAGTTTCTATGAGTGGAACACTATACCTATTTATGTAAAAGCAATCTTACTTAAGACATATTTTTAATAATAATGTATAGGCCTGCACTCTCACCTTTTTGGTACTAGACAACCTGCAACATGTCAGGTCATCCTTTCAGAAGTATTTCCATTTCCATAAACGGAGAAACGGAATAACCATAAGGTGGGCAAAACAGAAGTGACTTCCAACTTTCTGCTGGCTTCCCCATTGGCTTTCCTTATAGGAAGCTGTCAGGGAGTGTTGGAAATAACAACCTCATGACCACAGCTGACCACATTGGCACAGTATCTAGCATGGTACTGAAGGAGCCACAAATATGCCAAATTTCAGTCCCATGGGAATAATGGGTCCCAGATTTTTGATGAATTTTCTAAAAGAGCCCATTTGAGGTACATTGATTCAAAAACTGTTCTCCTATGAAACACTATATTGCCCCATTAATGGATATCAATAAACAGACATGTGAGTTTCTGTAGTATACAGGTTAAGGCATCAGAGTGATAATTAGTAAACTATTAGTAAACTATCCTGGATGAAGGGTCCCTGGACCTTTAAAAGTTTTCAGAAACAAGACATTTCCCAACAAAAGAGACCAATTCCCATTAGTCACCTTAGTAGTAACAGATGTGTATATTTTTGTACCTGGCTCTATTCCAGTATACACATGATCTAACTGGAACTTCAGTGGGATCATAACACATAATTAGAAATAAAGTCTGCTGGGACAGCACTTTTAAACTCCAGCTGTTTAGAACTGAAGGTGGTTAGAAAGAAAGATTTCGGCATTACTCAGGGTATGTAAATGCATTTCATATTTTCCTTCTAGAAAAACAGTTATATGGTGTCAATTTTACATGCTGCTTTAAAAAGAGTTCATGACTACGTGATCAATATTTACAATCCACCAAGTTAGGTGAAAAAAATCCACTTTCAAGCCTCTAAAAAGCTAAACAATCCTATATTGAATCAATCTGTTAATTTTTTTCTGGAGCTATATAAATATCAGGACCATGTCCAAGAAACACAATTATTTTCCAGACATATTTCTAACTAGTATTTGTTGGCTTTTATTTTCTTTAGGTTACCCAAATATTTTTAATGGCAAGCCGCCATTGTTTCAGTGGGCTCAGGGCATCTCTAGCAGACAAATCTTCTTCTAAAGGTGATGGGATGACTTCCAGATTTGAGTTACTCAGCTGGGCTCACAGATGTACAGAAAGAGAGAAGAAGAAAAGCATTCATCTGTCACCACAAAATAACTGAGGATTAAAGTTCATGCCCTGTTAACAATGCATTTCTTGTTCGTTCAACAGAAGGACTTTCTTCCTAGTTTGTAAAGTTGTTCTTTGCCTAATGAGCAATTAAAATAAAATCTTTCTGCATCGAAGTAATGCTCAATAGTATTGCATCAGTATCAACCATTTCTTACTTTGCCTTCAAAAGCAGTAAACACATGAGAGCTAGAGTATGCAGAGGCAAAACAAAATGTAAAAAATAATGTAAAATACAGAAATATCATAGAAATATTAGAGAAGATATGGTTTAAGACTTTGATTTTCATCTAGCATTGCTATACCATTAGTTTTGGTCTTGTCTCCTTAATTCCCAGAGCCAGACTGGGCACAATAACAAGAAAATGCATCTAGGATATTTTTATATTTTTACAGGGCCGCCAAATCTAATGCAGGATCATTGCATGAAAGGGCCAAGAAATAACTTTTCTTCTTGCTGGATATAAGTTCTTAGAGTCTCTTTAATGAATAAAGCAGGCAAATTTCCGTAGGGAAATTCACTGGGAGTGTTGCAACTGAAGACTTTGCAACTTTTCCATGTACTTGGTTTATAGACTCAGCTGCCCACAATGGCATTACAGCTGTGTTTCCTGGAACAAAGGTTGGATTTCTTGGGGCAAGAAAGCCTCTTGGCACATGTCTCAAAAAAAAAAAAAAAAAAAAAAAAAAGCTGGCAAACAAAAGATAGTTAGCCCTAGCTAGGATGTACTTCTTTGCATCAGCAGTGTCACACTGGGACAAAAGTCCAATGGGTGGGGGATCTATGAGGAATCAGGAAATGCACACAAAGAATAACTTAAGAAAAATGAAAGATGAACCAGTATCCCAATAACTCCCTCTTATAGCTACAGCATATTTCATTGTCACTACCGGTACATCATTGCTTCCTCTTCTCACAACAGACAAAGGATTGCATAGCTGCGTCAAGAAAGCAATATTTAAGCACCAGCCATTAGGAAGCTGATTTGCTTCCTAATGGCTGATTTGTCCTCTTGAGATTTGACCAGGAAATCACGTCTCAGGATTAAGGAGACATTTCATAGGGAAGGGAAGCCTATCAGTATAGCTCATGCCATCAACTGAGAATGTTACATACAGAGAGGAAAGGGCTTCCCTTTCTCCCCTCCCACATCATGATAGGTGAACACTTATTCAATAGCAATAGCAATACCACTTAAGACTTATATAGCACTTTGCAGCACTCTCTGGGCAATTTACAATATAAGCATTATTTGCGTATTGCCCCCAACAATCTCGAACTCCAGGCTGTGGGCAGAGTTTGCCTGCCATACTGCATTCTAATCATTGCACCACTAGGGCTCCTAAGCCCTCCTTTTCTTTTTAAGGGGGATGAGACAGTCTTTTAGATCGGGGCTGCTCCGTGGAGTTTCCAGTTCTCACAGGATGGAAAGGGGAAAAATTCCCTTCACAATTTCACTAAATAAACAGATGAGTTTACAATATACTGTTCAAAACAAGCTGACTCCAGTTCCCTTGCATGGAGAGTAAAAATAAAAAAACAGGAAGAGCAGCATTCTTTGCTTTCTAAGTCTGCTGCCACACTTGATTCAGGGAAGATGAGGACCTGTTGCTAAAGCCAAAACCAACCTATTGAAGGCCGTACATAAAATAATAGAATTATAAAATTGGAAGGAGCCATTCCAGGCCTCAGGTCTAACCCCCGATCGGTACAGTTAAAACACCCTTGACAGACAACTGTCACAATTATGCTTGAATTCATCCGTTAAAGAGATGGCTGCCAGCTCTGTCAGTACATTGGCCTGATAAATTTATTGTCGCAGATGAAAAGTTCCCCCTGCCAGCTTCTGTTGCAGCACCTCCTTTCTTGGATCTGGCAAACTTTTCTTCCTCTGGCATATTCTGAGGTGTCCGAAGTGTGTGCCTACCTGTTTGTTCCTTCTTTGCTATTTGGGGGGGGGGGGAGGAAAGTAGAGAGGAAAGTGCCTGATGCTTCCTGTTCAACCTGTTTTTGCCAGTAGTGATTTGGTACCAAATTACCCTCATTAAAGAGTTTTATGTTTCCACGAAACTCCAAAGGTTAGAATACACGGATGCTACATCCCTGCTATTTCTTTTCCTCTTCTGCTTGCTTCTCTCTATGAGGATATCTCTGTTCTCTCTTTCTTGAGTCATTGAAAGCAAAATACAAACACAGCATAGAGATAAAACAAATTTAAAGCTGAAATGAACTTAATGAAAGTGTGTGCCAAACTACTGTAATGTACATTAATATTAATAGGTATTACAATACTGCTACAAGAAGGCTTGTCCTGAAACCTGGTAATATGATCCCCAGGATCGCATCTGGAATACTCAGAGTGAAACCAATGACTATGACCTAGAAAAATAAAATGAATTGCCAAGTTGCTTAAGCTAATACATACAATGCTATCTGACCCTCTCTCTGTAATTGGCTGCATTGTTAGAGGGTTGTTGTGGATAAAAGGTTTTCCCTGCCAGCTTCCATTGAAGCACCTCCTTTCTTGGATCCGGCATTTTTTCTTCCTCTGGCACGAGCTGAAAAGTGTCTGAAGGTTAGCACACCCTATTCCAGTTCTTTTGACTCTTTGAACTTGGAACTTGCTTCAAAAATATGGCAGGTTGCTCTCACACAGGATCTCAAGATGCGACTTCAGGCCCCAGTTCATTTTCACCCTTGTTTTTTAAAGTACAGGTAGTCCTCAACTTATAGTAGTTCATTTAATGGCCATTCGAAATTACAGTGGGACTGAAAGAAGTGACTTATGACCCTTTTTTCATATTTATGACCTTTCCAGCATCCCCATAGTCACGTGATCAAAATTTGGATGCTTGGCAACTGGTTCATATTTATGACGGTTGCCGTGTCCTGGGATCATGTGATCACCTTTTGTGACCCTCTGACAAGCAAAGTCAATGGGGAAGCCGGATTCACTTAACAACTGTGTTACTAACTTAACAACTGCAGGGAGGGTTTACTTAACAAGTGTGGCAAGCAAGGTTATAAAATGGGGCAAAACTCACTTATCAACTGTCTCAATTAGCAACAGAAATGTTGGGCTCAATTGTGGTCGTAAGTCGAGGACTACCTGTACCATCTGTAAAAAAGTTTACATTTTCTCTTAGTCCTTTTTCAGATTGTATGAATTTGGTACCATCTAGTGGTTATCCAGATTTTTGCAGCCTCAAATCTGGTTGCTCTACTTTATTAAATGTAGGACAGAATGTACTGAAGAATTCAATTACATTATAGTCATTATAGTTATAGAATATAAATTTCAGTTCCTATTATAGTCCAGTTTAAGCTGTCCATTAGATATGGATTTTAACTTCATTTATTTTACATTTAGTAAATCTTACTTATCCTTAAATAGGTCAGTTCAAATTGATGCTGTTTATTCTTTTCTAGCAATACTGCTCTCAAAGACACATTCATTTTTATTATGTTTTACATTTATTGTATTTGTTTATTACCTAACTATATTTATTTAGGACTATATTAAGGATTTCGAACAGCAAAGTGTAAGTGTCCAAGGTCTCAATGCACAAAAGAATTACTCGTAGCCAGAGAAATATAGAGAAATTAGCAAACAGGCTCAGATGTCAAAAGCAAAACCAGCTCAAGACTCAGACAAGAGTCTGGAGATCAAAATTTAAGATCCAAGCAGAAAAAGGAGAGTGCACTGACTGTTGGATAATCAGTGTTGACAAAGTAACACAACTAAGATAGTCATTCAATGAAGAGCTAACCAAACACAAGTTCTTGCAGCATCTATACTCAGCTAGTGTTTTTTTCAAGCTCCCTCAGGTCTAATTGTAAGGTCATCTAACCACACTGGATTACTCTCAAGTTTCTCTCATCTTCACAATGCTCTTCCTTTCTTTTTGCCAGGGACCATTCTTGGGACTGCATTAGTGGGTCATATTCACAATGCAATGGGATTATCTGATTTTTCTTCTTCCTCTCAGAAAGCTGCTATGCCAGGGCGGGGCACATTTACATTGGATGGATAGTGAATATCCAGTTCCACAGCAGCAAAACAATCAATGTTTTGACTCTGTAAAGTAGCTTGCTCCCACTTGCTCCCTTTTCTATTTTGACTGCTTGGATACTAGCTTTTGTACCCCTAGAGCTTGGTAAACAGATTTGTTTTGTTTTGACTTCTTGACATGTGACTCTGAAAACAGCTCTTATTTTCTTTTGTGTAAACCAGTTATAAATATAATAACTATAATAACACAGGTATTGTAGAATAGCACTCGATGTGAAATGATGCTTGTGTAAGTATATAGTTTAAGTCCATTGAAAAGGATCTTGGAACTTGGACTGAAGCAGATTTCTAAGATGCCTACCAGTATATGTAGAGTAGGCATTATAACATAATAGTTTGCAAACTATTTTCTGTCACTTGTTATTCTCTTAATATTTCAGTGTTATCAATATTATTTTTTATGTTGCTACTTTCCAGCACCTTAGTTTTATGAGGCATTTGAAGGGAATATGGTAATTCCTGCATTATTATGCTAAAAAAATACAATTACTTGACATACTATAAGTGTAGTCATTCTGATCCACTTAAGGGGACAGAAAAGTGGAGTTTCTCCAAACAATTATCTTTACACTTTGGAGCGTAATCTGTAACTATTACCAATTCGTAGATTCCTATTTCAGCGCACATCCACATCATTCTAGATCAGTTTGTCCAACCTTTTGGCCTGCCGGGTCTGCACTGAGTGTGGAGGAATTGTCTTGAGTCACATATAAATAACAAAGTTCGTTTATTTTGAGAGGGGGGTCTTGTGGGATCATATTACTAATTGTCCAGGGCAGCAAGTAGCCCATGTCTGCAGGTTGGACACACTTATTCTAGATGATACCATTTTATGCTTCTCATATAATTCTCTCCCCCCCTTCCCTTTTAATTTTCTTATTGAAACCAAGACATCTAAACTGCTCAAAAGTCTTTTGGGATTGGGATACTAAAGAATGATACCAACAGGTAAACTTTTTAGTTATGTAGAGAAGGTGTATAGAGAAACTACCAGTTTTAATTGTATCCATGCCACAGGTAGTATTCCTTGCTAACAGTAAGACGGTACCAGTCAAAATTGTTATCCACCTTAATTCTTAATTTCTTCTGAGTTTTGCACATGTCTAGAAAGTTATCTTCCACCTCATGCCCTTGAATTCATTCAGCCAAATGTATAACTTACAACAGAGCCATAGTTTACTGCTAGAGTCTGTAGAGACCATGGAAGGCCAAGGCCAATTAGAATATCAAAGACATTGCTTCCGATGGAGTTAGAAACGGCCATGTCGCCCATTCCTGCAACATAAGAAAGTAAATAAGTCAGAATTACCACAAAACAGAACTACTGAAGCAAGTTCCTAAATCTATAGCTGGGCATTGCCTTTATTATAACCAGCTAAGATGTTGTAAAGCATATGTAAACTTTCTTCAGAACAAAGTATAAGCAGAAGTTAAGAAATGGAGAAATTACCACTGCATTATTATTATAGAGAAATTTTAAAAGGCTTCCTACCATTTTCCCCTTCTGTATGGCTTGAGGCTTCCTGTTCATCCTGTTTTTGTCATTGTTTTCATTAGCATAACTTAGAATGCATCAAAAGTAGTTTGCTACAAATTGCTCTCAATAAAGAGTTTAAAGTGGAGTTTCATATGAAACTCCAACGCGAAGAGTACACAATGACTATAGCCCTACTGTTCTTTCCTTTCTTCTCCTTTCTTCTCTCTGAGAGAGGTATTGTCTATTGGGTTGTTCCCAATTTTCTAGAGAATCTGTTCTTTTTTTTTCTTTTTGAGTCATTGACAGCAACATACAAATGCAGCAGAGACAGAACAGATTTAAAGATGAAATGAGCTCAATGAAATCATGTGCCGAACTACTGTAATGTATTTTAATATTAATAAATATAATAAAGTATTTAATAATTCCTGGTAAAGATAAGTATTTTGATTTATAAAATGAAAACAATAATGATACAATGCTGAGTTATTTTTACTTGAATTACATTGGTAGGGAATACTAACAATAAATGCAATCATTATTGTATACTAAATACAATGATAACTGTACCAATGATAATAATTACATGCAAAGTCCTCCATGGCATAGGAGCTGGTTACCTAGGGACCTGTCCTTCTCCCATTGTTCTGCCTGTCTGGTACATTCAGGCAGAGTGGATGTGTTCCAGGTCTCCTCTTTTCAATGTTGTTGTCATCTTACAGGACCATGGAAGCGTGCCTGCTCTGACGCAGCCCCCACCCTCTGGAATAGCATCCCTCCACAGATGCTGAGGCCCAGATAGCACTCTCCCTCCTGGGGCTCTGAAAAGCCTTTAAACCTGGCTTTGGTCCCAGGCCTGGGGTTAAGGATGAGTGATCTTGCTTTTTTTAATAGTTGTTTGATCCAGGCTGCCTTGTTTTACTTTATGTTTGTTTTGATTTAGCAATGTCCAATGAAGACAAATCTACCAACAATACTCTCCCTGGCTCCATCCAGTTGCCATCCATTACAGCCCCCTTCCCATTTCTCAGTGTGGCTTTTGATTTGAAAAAAGCTGTTGACTCTAAAGGATTAAAGAAGGATTAAAGAAAAGCTTCATCCTGTCTAGCATTTTACCCCCCCAAAAGCAACTCTTCTACAGCATTTGTGAGAAGAAATTAATACTGAAAAGGTATATCTCTTCTTAACTCAAAAGTAACAATCAGCAATCAGGATCATAAACTTGTCCTCCATAAATTATTATCATTCCCTGTCTTGCAGTAACACATTCTCTGAGTTAGATGCATTCTGTGAGGAACACAACCATATTTGAAAATGAAAAGAAAAGAAAAGAAGCATGTTAGGAGGGGTCTAGGCCCTTTAGGCTCCCACCATTGGCTGCACCCACTTCACCTTTGTATATCTGCCTCAGTTCAGTTACAGCCAGCTTTCCTCCTCCACTGGCCCTCCCCTACCATTCTCCCTGGCCAATGGGCCCCTGGCTGAAGAGTGAGGGGTGAAGGGCCAGGAGCCCATTGGCCAGGGAGAATGGCCGAGGGAGGACCAGAGGAGGAGGAAAGCTGGCTGTAAATGGGCTGAGACGGATGGCTGGAGGTGAATTGGGCACGCCCAATGGTGGGAGACTAAAGGTCCCATTCTGTGTTAGGAGAGAGGTAATAAGAAATTCTCTTCCTCATGCCAAAATTTTCAAAATTCAGTCTTTTTTCTTGAATTTCCCCCCTCTTAACTGCAGCCCTTAAAAGACTCAGCTAAATTTTACTATAATCTGGATTGAACGCTAACTATAATTTTGATGTATCCTCAACATAACAACATATATTTACAAATCTAGCCCCAACAATATAACCCAACACCAACATGAAAATAACATAAGTATCCCTAAAACTGATAAGCCTAACCCTGAATTTAACTATAACCAAGACAATATGCTAATTTAAATTTAACCTTAATATAAAACATTTACCCCATTTCAAACCTACCTTTTCCCGTGACTGATATTAAATTTAACCTTAACACTAAAACCAAAACAAACAGTGAAATTATTTATCATAATTATTTTGGCTGCCCATCTCACAAACTGTGACTCTGAGCAGTTACAATCAAACCATAAAATCAATTTTAAAAATCCAATAAATAGTACCATTTAAATGCTAGAAAAGAGCATCAGATATTATGAACAATGGAGCTACCTCATCAAGTCACAATTCACTCGTGACCTCCTGTTGATGTAACCAGGTTTTGAAGGACTTCCAGAAGGTGGGCAGAGATGGGGCCAATCTCACTTTGGGGAGGATGATGTTCCACAGAGTGTGTGCCTCAGCAGAAAAGACTTATCTCTTGGCTCCTGTCTGATGTAACTCTTTGGCAAATAGGACCTACAGCAAACCTCTTCTGCTGGACCCGATGAGATGTAGTCAGAAAAGGCAGTACCTCAAATAACCTGGCCTGTGCTACAAAACTCTTTAAAGATCAAAATGAGCATTGGAATTAGAATTTACCTTAATTCTAATAATCCCAATGGTAAATCCCAATCCTAAAAAACTAAAACCCTAAGGCCGTGGTAGCGAACCTTTGGCATGTGTGCCACAGGTGGCACGCAGAGCTCTCTCTGTGGACACGCGCGCTGTCGCCCCAGTCCTAGGCCTTCAGCAAAGTTTTATAAAACCTTTTCGCTTTAGGCCTCTGCCGCCGTGTGCAAAAAAAAAAGGTTCAATTATCAATCAATTTCAACTTCTTGCAGGGAAAAAAAAAGATCTCACAAAGTTGGAATTGATTGACTGAAATTTTTAGTCCCACCCAGTCTGCCGTTACCACCGCAGCCACGCCCACCCAGCACCCGATGATACATAAGTGGGTTTTGGGTTGCAGTTTTGGCACTCGGTCTCTAAAAGGTTCGCCATCACTGCACTAAGGAGTCTGATCCACATAGTTCCAACTCTATGTTTGGTTGCAATTTTCTACTCATTTTCTGTTTTTAAAATACAGAATTGGATCCTGTATGGCTAGAATTCAGTCTGGGAAGGGTGCTAATCTTGGCATGCTTGCTGCTGACATATTTGTTTTGGGTAGTCATGTGATTTGCAATGTCTCAGTTTACCAACATCAGTTTACCATATGCTGCATCACAGGAATATTACGTCTTCGGCATAATGCATGTAGTGTTGCAGAGATGACAAAGACTAGAACCCTCCAATTTAGAGGTTAAACCAATACATTTAATATTGGGATAGGTGAGCAAAAATGTAAAGTGGATGAGGCTGTGATTTTCAGCAGTTATGCTCAGAAAGTGTTTTGAGAGCTGCAAAAGAAAGAGAAAGAAAATGAAAAGAAAAATAAGGAGGATGGAATTATAAAGGAAGAAAAAAAGGAAGAGGTGTGGCCCTATATTTCAGGTTGTCATCCGTGTAATCCATCATAACATACCTATGGTGGAAAATCAAAGAGAGATGGGAAAGAGAAAGAAAAGGGTGTGCAAGTCTAAAGACATTCCCTATCCTTCTCAGTTATTATTTTTTTTGGCTCCCTATCTGAAAAGAGACTACTCTTTTCCGTATTATGAATATTTACTCTCTATTGTAGCAATTGTTATTTCTTTACCCCAAAACAGAATTAAAGAATGCCTTTTAAATATCTTCAAGAACTCTGTAATATTGCTCTGTATATAGCAAATTATAAACATACCTTGTCGTGCCACAATAAGGCTTGCCATGCAATCTGGTACACTGGTTCCAGCTGCCAGAAATGTGATCCCCATTATCACATCTGGAATACCCAAAGTGAAACCAATGATTGTGACCTAGAAAAATAAAATGAATTGTCAGGTGGCTTAAACACTTGTCTATATTGCCATTTGGTTTTCAGCGAGGTGCTCTGTGGATGGAGACACTTTAGGTTTTCCCACTGATCATCATGTGGCTACAATTAGTTTCTGCAGGAACAGTAGTACTTATTAGAATACTCTGGCTGAAAAAGTTATTAGATCCAATTGGATTCCCAGAAGCCTGTGCTGCAACTGGTTTGGGTGATATTATGGATGAAACCTAGAATAGGGAGCATGCAAGCTCTCAACAATTGTTACTAAGTGCACTCTCTGATCTGCTACAGTATGCACAAAGAACTTAGGTACTAACATAGTAAGGCAGATGGAGGAAAAACAGAATTTAAGAAGCACAGTTTAAAAACCACTTCATGGCTTGTGAAAAGAGAAGAATCTTCATTGCAGGCAATGACCAGTCCATAACCAAGACTTGCACTATAGTGATGTAGTGCAAATAAGCATGGGGAGGGAGGTTCTGTACATAAGACACTCACAACCTTATGATCTGCTAAGTTGTTTCAGGTTGCAAGTGACTGACTTGCACTCCCATTTCTTCTTCCCAAAATTGTTTTAGAGCATACCAAGAAGCTTGTACTACTTTTAATGAGTTATTTTGCTGACAAAATATGATATATTCAGATTATCTGGATGCCATCTTTCATATAGTCAACAATGAGGGTGTTTAATAGCTAACAATAGTTAGATTTAATCAGTTTCAATTGTGATGCTTGAATCACTGTCTCCTTAGAGCAGGGATGTCAAACTGCCGGCTCGTGGACTGGTTACATCATATGGAGGCCACGCCCACCCCAACTCCGGCAATACAAAAGAAGTTGTGATACATCATGACACATCATGTGACATGGCGAATTTGACACCCCTGCCTTAGAGGATATGCTCTATAACTAGTCCCATGGATCTTTGCTCATCTTCTTTTGTAATTTCTACCTGAGAGTAAAGATGTCTTATTTAGCAAGATAAATGATTCTTAGAGCACAAGATGCCTCCTTGTTTCAAAGAGATCTCTTTAAATTGCCTTGAAACACTCAGAGGTGGGCAACTTGTTGGGATTCGCTTGAGCAGGGGTGTCAAACTGCCAGCCCGTAGGCAGGTTGCATCATACGGAGGCTGTGCCCGCCCCAGCTCTGGCAATGCAAAAAAAGTCACGATACATCACAACACGTCATGTGACACAGCAAGTTTGACACCTGTGAGGTAGAGGAGGTGGGTTTTTACAAAACAATTTGGAAAATGTACATAGAACAGACCAATTTACTGTCTTTTAAGAATAAGCATAATGTGAAGCCCTTATAAATAGAAGAACACTAACATCCCCTAAACTCTGCTGAAGATGTTACCTAGCTTGGTAACAAAATGTTCAGAAACCAACCCATAAGCTCAGAGAACGAACCTTCACCCTCAATAGGCATAATTATTTGGGGGTGGGGGGAACAAATGGACCAGTTCAGAATTTTGTTTTTCCTGAGATTTGTGGGGAAGGGAATGCCCACAAGCCTATTTTAAGATATATACACCATAGTTTTCTGCTTTTCCTAACTCAAAAATGGCAGAAAATGGTACTTCTGTTTTTTTTGCAATTGTGACAAAGGGATGGGCAATGGCTGTTAACCAAGGAGGGGCTGCAGGTACACCTGGGGTATGAATTTTGTCACTCCTGACATCATTTCACTGATTGCTTGACAACTGTTGGGGGGACGATAATATCTTCCTTATGAGCTTCTGGCTGATTAGTGCTGAAAATGAAGGCTAGATTTTACTGCAAAAAGACAGTGCATCTACCAAATCTAAGGCTATCTTACTCAAGCCTAATACATACCATCCAGACCATCACATAGGAAAAGGCTGCAATCCAGAGCGTAGAGGAAGCAAAAGTGACCAAGAACCACTTCTCCCAGTAGGGTTTGCTACAGTTGGGCACCGTGAAGTATAAGAGCAAAGACAGAGGCCAGGTGAAGAGCCACTTGATAATTTCTATTATCCCAGCTGTAAAAAAAAATAGATCAATACATGTTATAAGATCCAAAGAGCCTTACTTGCACTTCTTATGCCACACTTTTATAAATAATCAAAGTGATGCTAAAAGCAGTGGAGAATATGGTTAGTCAGAAGTATAGAAATCTGAGTAGTTCAGGTCTGCAAACTTTCATATATTGCCAAAAAGATTGAGAGATGATGGATGGATGGACGGAAAGATATACCTTTATAGACTTTATAATAATAATTGAAGACCAGCAATTTAAAATAATAATGGGCAGAAAAGATTTTTCTTCCTGAACACTCCTGAATATGTTTTACAGGGTTTTGGCTGCTAATCATGAAAATAACCTGCAGTTTAATCTATCACATATTGTTTTATAGAAACTGTGTTTTTACACAACAGCAATGTACATCCTTTAGTACCTGTTGCTATGCTGCACACATGAAAGAAACATACAAAAGCATGGAACTGTTGTTAAAGCACACCCAGTACACCAAGTATAACTGGAATTTCTGTGGAGATCTAAAAGTAGTGACGCTCCTATTTGGAATGCAGCTCCGATATACCAAGTAATATTGTTACATATGCAAATGGGACAGTCATTACATTAAAAAGAAATGGCTACTCCAAGAGAATTAGGTTCCAGGACATAAAAATGTGGCACATGAACCACTTTTTGACCTGACAAAGATACTTTTGCCTCTGCTTCACACAAAACCTGGATTGATGAACAATTTTGTGAAGGCGATGAACAAAGAAGGTTTTCATTATTTGAGACAGATGCCTCCAAGAATAACTGGTGCCACAATTAAGGAGGCATTTTTGTTGGTCTGCAGATCAGATACGTCGTCAATGATAAGCGGTTCAAAGATCTGTTAGTAGGGATCCAAGAAAATCCTATAAAGCATTCAAGGATGTCACTGAAAAATTTCTTGGCATCTACAGAGCACAAAATTACATTCAGCTGGTTAACAAGCTTCCTACAGCATAAAAAACAACAACCATGAAATGCAACATGTCACTGAAAATTCATTTTCTGCATTCACCCTTGGACTTCTTTCTTGAAAATCTAGTGCAGTCAGTGTGAACATGGTGAAAGGTTTCACTGGGACATCGCCACAATGGAAAAACAATATCAGGGCAACTGGAATCCATCAATGCTGGCTGACTATTGTTGGACACTGCAGCGAGATGCATCAGACACTAAGTGAAATGAAGATCAGCAGCAAAACACTTTTAGACCTGTTGAACTCATGCAGCACGCCAGAAACATTATGCAATTAAATACATTATAGTCATTAAAAGTTAATTAAATAATTTCTCAAGATTTCTCAAGATTCCTATGTGATACAGTCTGGAATTATATTTTTGTTCAGTTTGAACAAATCATAATCATCAAACGTTTTTCAGGAAGCAAAACTTTTGAAAAAAAGTGTTGTTCACTGTAACATATAGGGAATGAATACAGATGAAAAAGGAAAGAAAAGGAGGGTGGGGGCTGAATACAATAACTGAAGATGATACACTGCAAATTTTTACAGGATTTAATTCAGTTAGATCTTCTGACTTCTGACAACAAATATAGTACAAAATTTAGCCCCTTGCCTGGAAACTTCACTGAACTGAAAGTTCATTACCAACTCAAATATTGTTTAGGTTGAAGGGTTATCAATTCCACTGTCCAGGGAGAATTAATTGGCAACTACTATCATTATCGTGATTTCTTATTAGAACAGAACTTCGGAGGGAATATTGTTACTGTTATGTTTCAAGTTCGGTGAGGCATTGACGAGGCGAATGGTGCAAACAACAACTCTTTATTCAGTTAACAACAGAAGCAGCACTAACTGCTGCTGAGCCACTATTTATACGGATCACTGCTAGGCGGCGGCCAATAGAATTAAAGCAGTCTTTCCCACTTAAATGCTAATTAACAAGACTGTAGACAGAAAGTCTGGGGTCTAAACGGATGCAACCGTTTGACCTTTTCCAACAGGTTTTAAAGTAATTCACATCAATACATAACAGTTACATCCTTGTTAACACTATTGAGGGGAAGGAATCTAAGTGTGTATGAAAATACGGAATTTGAAACATATTTAGGGGGAAGTAGTACGAAACTGTAGTTTTATCCCTTTGCACACTGAGGTCTTTAATTTTTTTCATAATTTCAGTTCTAGGCCAGCAGGCATAGACCATGATGAACAAGACTGCCATAAGTGAGGAAAGAAGAAAATTTGCAGGATCCAATCTGGGTCGGTCACTGGGATCAGTGGTTTAATCTTCCGAGCTGTCAGACCCATGCTGGAGCCCATCCTCAGGGAACTTCTCTTGGCGGAGTCTGTGCTAGTGAGAAGTTTCCTGAGGATGGATACACTCTGCTAGAAAATCCCTGAGGATGGGGGCCCCGGTGCGAATCCGAAAGCTCAGAAGACTAAACCTCTGGCTCCCAGTGACTGACCCAGATTGCATCCTGCAACATTATCCTGGGACACGTCTATTTGCCTTTGTTTATAAACAAGAAATTTGGTTCTGCTGTGAAGAAATATTACTTTCTAGGAGTACATGACTTGTGCTGGAGATCCTCCTCCTCAACATTTGCTTGAATCAGTATTTTAACAAGCGTAGCCTCAAGCAGGCATCAGAGAGCAAGCATCTAAAAAAAGGAGAGCATTGGTAACTGAACATGGGTCTCAGAGTGTAATTCTCAAGAATTCAGATTGTATTAACTCTAATGAGGGGACGGCCTTGTACGTATACAAAATGATATATGAAGTACAAAAGAAGTGTACAATAATAAAATGAAAACAGCCCTGATAATTCCCCCTTTAAGCTTGTCTTGTCAGTTGAAGGGAGAGTGATTTTCACTAAACTAATAGCCAAACTGTAGTAGGGTGCATTTATCAAATGCTTTTTCACAAATGTCTAAGAATCAGCAGGACACCATGCTGAAAAGGCTAGAGGGTTTCAAACAAGCTCTTTTCATTCTGCAATTTCTAATCTCTATTGCTAATAATGAAGACAGTGGGAAGCTGTTCTCTCTCCTTTCAATTGTTAAAGATATAATTCCTTATGATTATAGTAATCTATCTACAAAAACTACCTGAGTGTCTCCTACTTCTCTAAATACTGCTGTTTCTTTTCTTTTTTTAGTGCAGGAAGGGAATCTGTCTTGTGCCTGATGATTTCTTTACCAGAGCAACAGATCAAGGAACTTATTTAAAGTGTGAGATAGAACTAGTGCAAAAGGCAGACTCTACACAAATCAACAACAGACTCTACACTAATCAACAAATCATCATGCAACAAGGAGCATGTCCCAAATTTTACAACCTAAACTGAGGGCTCCTACTGATAGTTTCAGTTCAAGTGCTGGTGCACCTTCCATTAATTTTCTATTTCAATGGAACAATTCTTGGTCCCACAGCACCTGACAATACTGCTGGCTGGCATACTAAATTCAGGGACCCTGATCAGATCATTTTTAGTACAATTTAAAATCCTTTTTTTTGGTAGGAAACATGGTCTTCCAACCTATAAAGTTAAAATTTCAGAGATTTGTTCATTTATTTTCTATAGCCACATACCTCAAACGGGATTCTAGGTGGCTTACAATTCTAAAATTATAAAACAATTAAACGCATTTAAACAACAAAAGCGTCCACAAAATAAATAAGTACAAACAGCAGCCATAATGATTAATCAGCAAATAGTAAAACCAAGTAATGGGGCCCTTAGACCAGAGTTCCCCAACCTTTCCAGCTTTGCAGACCTGTAGGGATGGGAGACGGGATGGTTCAGCACGAGTGGCCAGCAAGTGCACATGCATGGAGCTCCATTTGCACAAGCGGTGGGCTCGTGTGCATAGTGCACATGGTTGCTGGCCGCTTGTGTGCGCTCGCCCACCACTTCTATGGCCCAGTTCTGAAGGGCTCAAGGCCCAGTAGTGTGCCGCAGCCCAGAGGTTGGGGACCCCTGCTTTAGATGGTTGATCCCCTATTAGAAACTCTAGGTTGGAAAAGTGACCAAGCCCAATGAAGTATGAGCATGTTTATCGCTGCCAAATTTTCTTATCAAATAAATTTAAGTTTTGGAATGACAGATCATCTTTTCAACAACAATTTTACAATATTCACCACTTTTATTTTAAATAATTAAATAATCATTTTCTCTGTAGGCCACGGCTATTCAACCTTTTTACAAATTGTACCACTTTTAGGACATGACAATATTCGAGTACCACCGTGCTTAGCAAGGTGTCAAAAACGTGATGACTAAAAAAAAAAGGGGGGGATTTTGCATTTTACTGGTTAGATTCATTTGTCGTTATAGAAATGGATAGTTTATAACACTATGGAAAAGTAAAAAGTTGAGGTACAATGTTAATGCTTCCTGCTACTGCAACAGAGGAAGTCGGAAGTCAATGATTTTTCTTTTATTTTTCCCTTCTCCCCCTCACTTTTTCCCCTTTTTCCTCCCCACTGTGTCTTACTATTTGCTTTTGTATTTTTGTATTTTATTCTATAATCTAATAAAATGTTACAAACTGTAAAAAAAAAAAAAAGGAAAAAAGTACTGGTTTTAACTTCTTTGGTGGTGGTTCCTTTGCTGAATCACTTTCCCTTTATACTGACAAATGTATGATGAATTTCTCAATATTTATTAATATACACCACTACCTTGATGGTCAGGTGGCTGGTCGGCCCTGCTTCCTCTGTCTATCTCCTCTCTTTCTCCCCACCTTTTGTTCGCAAAAGCCCCCCCCCCCCATACACACACTTCCCCCAAAAGCCTTTCCTCTCTACCTCTCTCTCACACACACCTCCCCAAAAGCCTTTCTTCTACTGTATCTCTCTCCTCCTTTCTCTTCCGGGTGAGCTGGAAGTGCCAATCCTGGGGCCTTTGTCTTACCCCAGCAGCCCTGCAGCTCCTGAGGACTCTCTCATGGCAAGTCCTGCACTTTGCCAGTTTAGCTCCTTCCTTCCCCCGCTACACTTGTCTAGGCTGGACAGGGCCATGTACCACCTGCCAGGTGCCAATGTACCACCGCTGGTATGGGTACCACCGATTGAAAAGCCCTGCTCTAGGCCACAGCATCAATATTTCCCTTTGGAAGCTGGCTGTAGAGAATTCTTAAATATTCCTCAGTTAGGCAAAGAAACAGGAAGTATTTTGTGGATGTTTTCAGTGCAGAAATAACTTTCCAGAAGGTCAGAAGGCTTTTACTGTAGTCCCCTTTCAGATGTTGCTCTCTCCAACGTTAGTGATAGCACATGAGATGCCAGTAACATTACTCCCACATTACAAACTCTTTTGTAACCAACAGCATTCAAAAGGCAGGACTGCTCTAATTCCAAAGAATCCAACCAAGAAGAGCCAAAACAGAAATGTGTGCTAATTCATATTTTGCTTTCAGTGCTACAAATATTAATTGCTTAATAACTAAAGCAAAAAGGCAAACATTATTTGAAATTTCTTCAAGTGTCTATAGACCTGTAACATTATGCTTTGGAAGTGGAAAACATATAGTAAATACAATATAAAACAATATTAAAGGATATTGTAAGATTTCCCCCTAAAAGATGAGAAGGCAACTTGGTGCTACAAAAAATATTTAGAACCACAAGTTCTACAGTCCCATTCTGGCTGGGGTTGGTGGAAGCTGAAGTCTAAAACATCTGGGGAACATCAGGCTGCCAATCTGAACCCAAAAGGGAAAAATACTTTAAACTGTCAAATCCTACAAAGCCGTGAATATAGAAAAGAATCTCTGGCATTTATTATTCCCCTTTTTTCTACAAGGCATCAAAGAATACAATTATTTAAGGACAGTAAATTAATATGAATTAATTTTGTCTGTATGGGAAAAGACATGAAGAGGAAGGAAAATTTATAAAGGTACATTGCTTGTTGTACTCTCTTCGTTCTAATACCATTAAGTACAATAAAGTAAAGTAAATATGTCCAAATTAGATATTTCATCATTAAGGAATGAAAGATGAGGAATTGAAATGTTAAGGTAAGAAACACAGCAATTTCTTACATGGCAGATCAAAGGGAGTGTATGGACCTTGGTCATCATCATCATCATCATCATCATCATCTTCCTCCTCATCATTCTCATTGTTTTCATTGTCATCATTTTCATTCTCTGTTTCATTGCCACCCTCAGCAGCCTCCTCGTCTCTCCCAGTTCCATTTGTGCTTCCTTTAGCAGAGTTACTGAGCCCTGATCCATTCTCCATGGTATGTTTGAAAGGGACCTTGATGGCTATCTCTGCTTCTCCATTGCTGTACACTCGGCTGTTGATTAATCTTTGCCTCTGGAAGAAAACAAAAACAAAGTGAAATCTGCAGGCAATTTTAAAACATAAATAAACTGAATGAAAAGACAAAGAGTTATTTCTTCAAAAATATTTGGCTGATGCCAGTACAGGTAGTCATTGACTTACAACAGTTCATTTAGTGACTGTTCAAAGTTACAACGGCATTGAAAAAAAGTGACTTATGACCTTCTTTCCAGCTCCTCCATCACTTCCTTTGCCGTCATGTGCAGTCCCAGAAACAAAAGTTTGTGGGACTAAAAAAAAAAAAGTTCAATCAATCAAATCCAACTTATCGTGAAAAAAAAATCTCGTGAAGTTGGAATTGATTCATTGAACTTTTTTTTAAGTCCCATAAACTTCTTTTGTTTGTGGGACTGCTCGCGGCGGCAGAGGAAGTGACGGAGGACCACATCGGGGCTGGAAAGAAGGTGTCGCATGGGTCCGATCAGGGGCGGGTGGCATTTCTGCCACACGTCAACTGGTTCTCCGAACTCAAAAGAAATTAGCTACCAGTTCTACCGAACCAGCTGAATCCCACCACGAAATAAAACATAGTAAATACCTCATTGATCAACATGCGACTAGCCATGGAGAGCCGGGTTCTGGGAGGAAAGTGACTTGTGATCATAATCCGGAGTCCAGCCTCTGAGAAGGATAGCTGATGTGGATATGCAGACAGCAACTCATCCACCATGATTACAGAGGCTTTGCGATGGAAATTTCCTAAACAATAATTAACAGAATTGGAAGGAAAATGCCTTTTACACCATCAATTTTTCTTATCTGAAATTTCTATAATTTATGGTGTTTTTGACCTTAATTCCACTTAACATGTTAGTAACATCTCCCTAATTTTTAGAAACATACAATTAATTCTGAAAAATCTAGATGTATCGAGTCCATTCACAACTCTCTTTTGCCTCTATTATCATGTTTCTAACTCTTTATGTTGGCCAAGTATATTTTTGATAAACACTACAAAATTCTGGTTATTTAAATATAATTTATGACAGAAAAATAAATTGTAAATAACTTAAAAATGATGGTATATGGATATATATCACAGGTATATGGATGCTTAATTTTATAAATTACAGATTTGCACTGTTCCTAACTTGGTTACGGACTAGAACAATAATTCACTGTGCTCTAGACACATGACACTGTTGATCTACATCTTATGTCACATTATAAGCTAAAGATATTACAAATTGCAAAAGTTTTAATGTTATTCTTTGAGGCATTCAGGCTCCTAATGTAAACAGCAGCTTAGTTTCCAAAGTAGAACATAATAGTGCATTGTCCTCAAGCTATTTTTTCTTAACATCTTTTTAGCTGTACATGTAAACAAATGGAATGCTGTTGTGATTAACAGTACAATCCTATACAAGTCTATTAAGAAATAGTTTTTCTGTTTTTGATTTTATAGGTAGTCCTCAACTTACAACCACTTGTTTAGTGACCATTTGAAGTTATAACAGCACTGAAAAAATGACTTATTATTGTTTTTCACACTTATGACTGTTCCAGCATCTCCATGGTCATGTGATCAAAATTCAGCCACTTGGCCACTGGCATGTATTTATGCCAATTGCAGTGTCCCAGGGTCATGTGATCATGTTTTGTGACCTTCTGACAAGCAAAGTCAATGGGAAAGCCAGTCTCATTTAACAATTGTGTTATCAACTTAATAACTACAGTGATTCACTTAACAATTGTGGCAGTGAAGGTTGTCAAATGAAGCAAAGCTGACCTAACAACTGTCTTGCTTAGTAATGGAAACTTTTGGTTCAATTGTGGTCATAAATAGAGGACTACTTGTATTTACCTTAGTAAGCACTAGACAACCTGTGCCTCAGTTGATGGCCATTGCTGGGTCATCATTTCAGAGATATTACCTTATTTAAATAGAGAAGCAGAATGACCACGGGGTGGTTAAAAAGCAGTGGGAGTAAGAGTGACTCCCAACTTCCTGGTGGATTCCTCATTGATGTTTCTTGCAGGAAGCTGGCAAGAGCATCAAAAATCCTTCCTTCCTTCCTTCCTTCCTTCCTTCCTTCCTTCCTTCCTTCCTTCCTTCCTTCCTTCCTTCCTTCCTTCCTTCCTTCCCTATCGTTCTGTTATTTTTTTTTCTTCTTTTCTCCCCTTCCCTTCCATTTCCTTCCAGTAGGCAGTTAAGTGGCTGCTGCTGGGTGGGTGAGGGAGAAAGGGATTGTGTGAGTGGCTGGGAAACTCTCACAGAACATTGAAAATGAGGATCAGGTGACTGCAGCAGCAGATGGCAGGGCTGAAGCAGTCACAACTTTTTCAAATTTCATCCCCTTGGGAGTAATAGGACCTAGTATTCTGCAAATTGGTCCAGTTGAGGTCCCTTTGTTGACAATTTTTCCTATGATACACCCAACAGGAAATCCCATGAATGAGATTCAATTGGATTGAAAATAATGCCTAGATTGGCCCTGAGTTTCTAGCTAATGAAATATTAGAGTTCTCCAAGCAAGCAGATTGACTTACTGGAACAGTTACCTTTCTTTAGTAATACCACTGTAGCATCACAATTGCTGTTGTCATCCATCTCGGCATTATTTGCTAATCCATTCACCATATTTGTTACATTCTTTGTCCTCCGTTCAAACATATGCTGAAGACTGGCATTAAACCTACACAAAGAAGAAAGAATTGGGATTATTTTAGGCACTGTTAGATGCTATACAACTCCTGGTCTCATTTCAGATCCCTGATTGAATATGGTGGGAGAAACAGCAGAGCAGCTAATTTTGAATTATTGGTTGGATGACTAAAGGCCCAGACAACTTTCATTTGGATTCCTGCAACCTTTTATTTTACTACTAAAGAATGCTTCCTATTGGGGCATCTTCATGAGGCCCAGTATTTGATGTTTTGCCCAGTTACATGATAAAAGAAATCAGTTTGGCTCCAGAGGGCCCTATAACCTGTCCTTCATTTTAAGGAGCTTGTTTTGTGATATGAGGATGTCTCATGATGATGTTCCCCATATTTTCCCATGTCCTGCCAATCAAATCAAATTTTAACATAGTTCAAAAGTTACTGCTTTGTTCACTTTTATTCCCTATTGATATTAAGAGTCTGATTATACAGAATCTTGGCACTATCCTCTCCTAGTTTTGGCATGCTTTGTGATTGTCTTGGGAGTCAGAGTTCTACTCTTAAGATAGATAAATCCTGGTTATAAATTTACAGTTTATATTGAAAAAGAGCGAAGATATTTTTTGTAAAATAAAAATAATACATATGATGAAACCTGTATGAACAAGTTTTTATGACTTGTATTAATTAACATTCACTGATCTCAAAACAGTTAAGCCAAGTCAGACCTGCTTAATACTTGGACAGAAGGCTATGAATAAATGCAGGGCTATAAATTAGACTTGGCTGTAAAGGAGACAAAAGCAAATGACTTTTATATTGTTGCCAAGGTAACTTTGGGGACATGTCTAAGTAGTCATCAAGAGCAGAGCTCAGCTTGCAAAAATCTTAGCCTTTGCCTTACTTGATGTACACGGATGGAAAATAGAGCCCTATCCATTTACTTAATTATTTCCCATATTTCTATACTGTCCAGCTATATTTGTGTAGAGAGTTCTTTTCTTTCCTTCAATCATCTTCTGTTTGTTTATTCTACGAAACATTCTGTGTAACAACTTTTTTTCCCCTAGTTGTGGGCTAGTATTGAGACAGGCTGCAATATGGCTAGATTTGCCACATCTGGATTCCAGAAGGTCAGATGGCCACAAGGTTGGAACAAATAGATGCAGAAAATGCTCGATCTTTTCTGCTGCCTTGCAGGTGATTAGATTTTTCTTATATTTTACTAATATGAGAGTAGAATGAACAATAACAGAAAGCGGAGAAGCCAGAAAAAAAAATCTCCAAGGTGTCTCTGCTAATTAAAATGAGTAATATATAACTGTCAAAGTGTACAAAAATTGCACTGTATTGAGGAGAAGCTTTCAAGCAGATGGACAAGGACATGGTAGGAGCTGTAGGTAATCCAGATTTGTCTAAAATAATAACATGGAACAATAAACAGGCCAGAACATATTGTACTTACTTCATGATAAGAATGTATATGATGTACATCAGCACTAGGATTAAGGACTCCCACCTGCGATCAGCCAAGGAAATAAAAGGGAAACAATAAGCAGCACAGTTCCATGACTACGGTATGATTGCCTTTTCTTCTGAAATTCAGGCCAGCGTCACAGGGGATGGTGAATGATGACAAGTGTGGAGCACAGAGGGCAAGTTACCCTCTAATATTGCTTACACTGCAGTGTTTCTCAACCTTGACAATTTTAAGGCATGTGGACTTCAACTCCCAGAATTCCACAGCCAGCAATGCTGGCTGTGGAATTCTGGGAGTTGAAATCCACATGCCTTAAAATTGTCAAGGTTGAGAAACACTGGCTTACAGAGAGTGAGATGGCACCTGTTGGTGCCAGGAGAAATCTGGGGTATCAAAAATGAAGCTGGATGGACAGGGAGAAAGCAGAGCAAAATGTACAACTGAAAACAGCATGCTAATTCCTTTCAGCCCCTGACCTTGAGATATGACTCATTCTCTTGTGATCAATCAATCAGAATAGAGTTGGAAGGGACCTTGGTCTTAGAGGTCTTCTAGTCCAACCCCCTGCTCAAGCAGAAGACAATTTCAGACAAGTGGCTGTCCAGTCTCTTCTTAAAAAAAAAACTCCAGTGATTGTGAGAAGGATAAATCCTTAAACTGTTGGGCCAAACTATAAGTCTTAGTCTATGCATATTCCACACATTCAATTATTTGGAATGGAAGCATCATCCAACAAAAGAGTTAGCAATATATAATATAATACAACTGCATTTTTGACACAGTTCATCATAACCATTCAATAAAATCTGCAGTGTAATTATCAACCATTTCTTTAGAGATGTAAATTTGGCATTACATTTAAGTAATTGGTTGGGACAATTACTTTCATGCTGATGGCCAATCCAAAAGTCCTGGGAAAGTTTTTTCTTTTAATTTAAAAAAAAAATAGACAAATCATTTTATTATTTAGTTTTCCTACAGGATTGAAATTGGTCCCTGAACCCTCTTAGCACAACATTGGTTTTCCTAACTTTTCTTAATTGGCAAATGACAACCATACTACTTACCAAGCAACTTTTTCATCATAAATAAACTGAGGAAAAAATGGAAAAATAAATATTACTGTATAGGACTGCTAATAAAATATCTACTACTTTTTTTAAAAAAGAATCTCATATCTCAGTATTTTATGCTGGCTCTATAACTCAAATTATTCTGCACATTTCTCTCTCTCAAACTGTTTAAGCATCTGTAATGTAGAACTCCATACATTACATGTAATTTTTGTTTTAAATTAACATGCAAATTAGAGCAGAAAGCCAGAGTTTAAATAAATCACAATTATAAATACCATGTCAGAGTTTGAGTTTCCAATTTGACTATCCAACAGCAATTTTTCTAATTTTAAATAAAAATTATATATTAAATCATATTTCAACTCAACTCCCAGAGAAGCCAATAAGTGTAATATAAAGTTCTGTTAAATTGTTGTACATGCAACACATGTGATTCTCTACTTTGCTCTGTGAATTTCATGTGAAGAACTCAACTGGACATATAGCTAGTCATTTGGCATCTTTCTGAATAGTGCCACTGCTTTCATATACTGTAAATGCATAAAATTGAATAGTACATTATATATCCATCTTTCCCTTGATGTCGCTCTATACACACATCTATTCTGAATGTGGAAAAACTTTCTAAAATTCAAGCCTTCCCTCTCCATATTGAAATCACAATCCCTGATTCTAGCAGCTCCTTTGGCAATCAACATGCAGCTCTATTCTTCTTCTGGGATGTAAACCAGGAAGAAGCTTTCCTCTACGTGACCACCAGAGTGCACTGACATCCTATGCTTCTACTTGACTTCTGTGCTTTTTCTTTCAGATGTGCCTACAATAATACTAGCGAATTAAGGTACCTGGAGTATTTAGTAGTAGTATTTGCATGGTTACACGTCTAGCTTTCTACTTCCTTTATAGTGTCGTGGTTAAAAATATACAACTGGTTATCTGTTTGTTCTTAGTTATCACTGTAACTACAGGCCTCATTATGAAGTAACTTACAGGCCGGGAAACATATTCATGCAATAATAAAATATCATAGCAGAGGAGGACAGCAAAAATGCATTTCTGATTTCACAACCTTCCTTTTTTGCCATCTGGATTTTGGCTAAAGATTCCTAGAATATTATATGACAATGGAAAAAAAAAAGGAAAAGCTTCTGTACAGTCCTTAACCAGAGAGATCGCTGGTAATGTGGTGCTCCTAACTAGAGAATGAACTAATGTCCAGATCACCATTGTGCCAGGTGGCTGCAATGGTTTCTTCTGTCACTTTCACTCCCCAGGTGCCATGCACGCTTTCAAGATACTGCTTTGACTTTGCTTGAGCAGACCCTAATTCTGGTACAGAATTATTCTGCATGAGCCCGAAGAAGGCACAACTGCTTAAATTGTCAAGGGATTAAAGTGAATGTGTCTGTTAAAGCAGCCTCCTTTTTTTCCCCCCACCAAGCTTGGCAAGAGGCTGAAAAAGAGCGGGAAAGGTACTGTTTTAATGAACTGTGGGGCAGTATTATGCTTATGTGAGGTTTCCAAGCACTTCTTCCAAATTACTTCAGAATTGTGCACAGCTCTACTTTCCCTATCAAAGTTTCCATTTGAGATACGGAATAAAGAAAATAAAGCAAAGAGAAAGTATCAAGGAGACAGCAGCAAACATCTTAAGGAAAGAGAATAAAATAATCACACTGAGTGGTGAAAGATACCACCTACTGTACTTGAAGTATTAGGCTCACTGTCATGACTCATACAATTTATTCTTTATTTAATTTTCTATCAAAATAAAAAAATAACTATCAGCATCATACAGAGTATTAGCTCTTTCAAAATACAATCAGTCACTCTCTCTCACCATACAAATAACAGCTATATAAATATTCAATATAAGTAGTATTGAACCTGCATATTGATCTTCCATGTCAATTGGATGGGAATTGCAGTCACTAAGCAATGCAGTCAACAAAGTGCAACTGCTTTGTGCCGGCAATCCAGACAGTCCCAATTGTCATCATTACCTTAATGTCCCAGTTGTTAGGCATAGCAACTTTCTGCCCGCTTTCCACAATCAAGGAAGTTCTAATCTCCAGGCCCCACAGGATGGGGAGGGAGCAAAGGGGTGCATGGGAGGGTCAGAGAGGATGTGTGAGAGCCTCAGAATCTCTTGAATTTTTAGTCCCAGAGTCAAGAAGCTTCTGAAACTTCTCCACTCTGGGACTGAAAAATCTAAAAATTCTGCTTGGATTTTGGCAGAAGTTGCATCTTCAGCCAGCCTTTAGACCCTGGGAGCTGGCTGAAAACCAGAATTCCAATGTCTGAGCTCCTCAAGGAATGAGAGTAAGTAACGATCCCTATATTTAATACACAACCAATGTTCTAATACATTATGTGCCAGATGAACTTTTTCACCTGCCCCACAAAGTCTTCCACGGGGTTCCTTGGAATCTCAAGATATTATTAAGAAAATCCCAGGTCAGATAATAAATGATACAGAATCATGCAATATAAACTACCGTAATCTTTTTTTACTTTCTTACAATATTCTATGAGAGGAATTTGACTTTCAGGCAGTTGCCTATTTGACTTTCAAACAATAGACCATTGATAGGTTCTCAATCCAGCTGAAATCATGAGAATATGTCAGTTGCACCAGGTAGTGCCACTTACTGTGGTAACAATATGTTGAATTTGTTTACATAAAAAACGCATGTAATGGAAGACAATAACTTATGGATTGCCACAGGATTAGCATTGCTACCAGACGTGCCTTGCAAAAATCATGATTGCCACTAAATAGCAACAAAGAGACAGATTGACATCTTGTTTTTTGCCACTAACTATCATTAATCCAGGTTTTGGCAGCCCAGAATTGTAGCCCTACATGAAAGTAAACCAGTACATCAATGTTCTTAGGCTACCATTTTAGAGCCATTGTTATAGACCAGTGATGGCGAACCTTTTAGAGACTGAGTGCCCAAACTGCAACCCAAAACCCACTTATGTATCGTCGGGTACCGGGTGGGCGTGGCCCATTGGGTGGGTGTGGCCCATTAGATGGGTGGACTGTGGTGATAACGGCAGACTGGGTGGGACTAAAAAGTTCAATCAATCAATTCCAACTTTGCAAAAAAAAAATTTCCTGCGAGAAGTTGAAATTGATTGATTGATTGAACCTTCTTTTTTTTTTTTGCACATGGCGGCAGAGGCTTAAAGCGAAAAGGTTTTTTAAAATCCAGCTGAAGGCCTAGGACTGGGGCGACGGTGCGTGTGCCCATAGAGAGGGCTCTGCGTGCCCCCTGTGGAACATGTGCCATAGGTTCGCCACCACAGTTATAGAACATACTGATTACTAAGGTCATGCACAAGTATGATTTCTGTCTTCAAAAATTCAAGCAGATACCTTGAGACATATAGTACATCTGAAAAGATATCTCAATCTTGGCCTTTCAGACCTCCAGAAAACTGAGTTAATCCAAAGGGTCTTTTGGTATCACCCAATGTGATTATTTTCATGACATTTATGATTTTAGTTCCTATTGTGGACATTTTATTTAAATGCTTGTGTTGCTTGTCATTACTGCAAACTGCTGAAGGACTGGCAATTGCAGCTGTCATAAATAGGATAAATAAATAAAATATGGCAAGAAATAAACATCCAAAGATGGAAAGGAAGGGATAACAACTATCCTTTTGGAAATAACATAAAATAACATCTTGGCAGTTCATAAAACAAATTTTATGTCAACGTTCAGTTATTAAGACATATTTTCCGAATGATAACACATGTTTTAAGAATTCAGAATGTATAGTATTTGCTTTAAATACTAAAATTTGGTATGCTCAATACAGCTGTGGCCTCATATGAAGCCTCATATTCTGACGTTTTGAAACAAGCTTTTTCAGATCACAATGGACAAAATATAAAAAAAATCACTAAAGGATAAAGTCTGAAATTGTTAAGAAGTGTGACTTGTGTTCAGTTAAATGGAATGTCCAGAATAGCAAAACAATCAATATATACTGGTAAAAACATCTGTCATTACTAAAATCTTTACAAAATAGGAAGATCAACACTCTTTTGTTTGTTAAGGGTGGTCAGAGACTGAATTTACATCACATTCTTATTCCAGGCCAAATTAACAATGCTTTATTCAATTGTGGATTTGTACAATATATCTAATCATAAATTAGCTATGCAAACTGGGTATATATACAAATGGAAACCAAAATTTGGTTGGCTAGGTCAGTATGACATGCACATGTACATAGCCAAAACCCTTTATTTAGGAGAATAACCACTCAGTACGTACCAAAATAAGTGCAGCAACTGAGCAGGTATAATATCCTGAATCTCTCAAGAGGCTCCAAGAAGACAATGCAACTATCTGAGAAAACAAGCAAAAAGAAAAGGAATTGGTGAGCATAGTTTGCATCAAAAACAAATAGCAAGAAAGGGTTTTAGAATAATTTGAAACGTTGAGGTGCTGTTTCCCATATACAATTATTTGCTATGAGAAATCTGAAAATGTTGCAGTTTTGAAACTCAAGGTTACTTCCAAAAAAGATACCTAGTTCCACACAATGAGAGATTAGGTCTCTGTCTGATTTGTGATTGAGCTTGAATTCATAGTGAATCAGGGCAATTTAGGCCAGATTTTTGCTTTTCAGAAGCAGGATTTTGCCCTGCTCTGTCCTGTTCAAGGCCTTCCCCAATGCTCTGCACCCCAAGTTTCAATTCCAGAACATTGCTTCACTGCAAATGATAGCTCTGCAACATACTTCTCTCTCTCTCTCACTCACTCACTCACTCACTCACTCACTCACTCACTCGCTCGCTCGCTCGCTCGCTCACTCTCTTAAACACACACACACACACACACACACACACACACACACGTCAGGAATTGACATTGGTTGTATAAAATATTGATGGAAAGGATACTAGTTTCCTTAAATGACAGCCCTCGCAGAAATTTAAAGTAACCCTTTTGATCAGACCAGTGGTTCCCAACCTTTTCTATACCCCGCACCCTTAGAACGCTTCTGATATATTCTCGCACCCCTTACAAAAGTTCAAAATAATGGCAACGAATTATGCATATATGCTATACTTTTGAAAACCCAAGTTTTCGCACCCCCTGGAATATCGTCTCGCACCCCTGGTTGGGAACCCCTGGATTAGACAATGAGTGAGCCTTTGGGATGGGTAGGCAATGGGTTTGGGGGCACTGGCAAGACAGCACAGCAATGAGCTAGAGAAACTGGGGAGAAGCAGATCTCAGTACATTATATTTGCAGAATTTGGCAATTCTGGTTCTTTTGCATTCAGACAAATGTAAACCTGCAGAGTGAAATGTTTATGACAGGTCTTGCTGACTCAGGCTAGTTTGTCAGTTTGACTTGGGAGATACCAGAATGACTGTTGTGTAAAAGAGGGGCCAGGAGAGCAACAAGATGAGCAACAGAGAAATGTTACCCCCTCCTTCCCTATGCAAATAGGTTAGAGTAGACCCACCACAGTTATTCATTGGGGCTATTTTCTCTAGTTTGGGGGCTTGAACAATGGCTTAGCTTTCAGGAGGGCAACACGAGGCTCTGAAAGGGATGGGTTTTTCTGAGAATCCTCACAGCAAGAAGAGCATTCTTTTTTTCCTGAAACCATGTTCCAGAAGTGGGAACAAGTCAGGGCAGACTATCCCAAACAAAGTATGTGTCAAACTATTTATGAATCTGATCTTGGAAGTGGGCCAAGAGATCACTTATGAATGAACATTTATGGGGTGGGGGTGGGGAGGGAATCAGAAAGAGATTTATGACCATTAGTAACGGATTTATTATTGCTGCTGGCAACTTGGTTAATAACATTTTATTTTAGTGAAAACTGAAAATTGACCCCTGTAGACTGCTGTGCTTTTGCTTCTTTAATGCTTGAAAAGAGGAACACTTTTTCTCTAAGAAAATAAGCTACGTATGTTTAAGCATTGAGATGACAAAATCAGATGGCATCTGAGAAAAATTCCATTTTTGAATGCTGGTTGATATAGATTCACACAAGTTCAAAAAACACAGTATATAAATGAACAATGTGCCTCCAATTCACTCCATGTCATGCCAGAGGGACTTGGAGTCCTAGTGGACGATCACTTGACTATGAGACAGCAATGTGCAGCAGCAGCCAAAAAAGCTAATACAATCCTGGGTTGCATAAACAGAGGCATAGAATGATTAAAGGCCTGGAGACTAAAACGTATGAAAAACGGCTGCAGGACTTGGGTTGGGCTAGTCTAAAGAAAAGAAGAAATAGGGGTGATATGATAGTAATATTCCAGTATTTGAGAGGTTGCCACAAAGAAGAGGGGGTCGAATTATTCTCCAAAGCATCAGAGGGCAGGACAAGAAACAATGGTTGGAAACTGATCAAAGAGAGAAGTAACCTGGAATTAAGGAGAACGTTCCTAACAGTGAGGACAATTAACCAGTGGAACAGCTTGCCTCCAGAAATCGTGGATGCTCCATTACTGGAGATTTTTAAGAAGAGACTAGACATTCACCTGTCTGAGACGGTATAGGTTCTCCTGCTTGAGTGGGGGGCTGGACTAGAAAACCTCCAAGTTCCCTTCCAGATCTATTCTATTCTATTCTATTCTATTCTATTCTTAATAAATGTTTTGATTCTTCATAAAAGGAAGATTTCTGAAATGTGAACACTGCTGACTTGCAGTCTGAGGGGATTTGATTCATTATTGCCCCATTGCTGTCTCATTTTGCCATTGCATTAAGGTGAGGCTTGAGTTATTATTGTCATCAAATTCCAATCCATTTTGTCGGCTGCAATACTAGGATGTTTCAAGTCAGTTTGGTGGTAATACATTTCACACTATCTGTAGAATTCTGATTCCATACAATAAGATACTCTTTTAAGTTTATTTAGTGGCATGAATCAAAACTATATTATTTATTATTTAAAATAACCCTGCATTATTTGCAACATGTAGTGCATTTAGTACTTCATATGCTGCAAACTTTTTCAGGGAGTATTTTGTATCAAAACAATCACACCCAAAATCATTTTACAGGGCAGCAAGTTCATGTAAACAATCATGATAAAAGAGATCAAAGACTGACTCCATTTGAATTATTTGTAGTTAGTAAAATGCAGAACTGGGGAACAGAAGCAGCATTTGAATTATAGCTGCTCAAAGAATAGCTGGCACAAATTAACTGGGCAGAACCCCCACCCCACCATCTAGGATATATCCTAAGTAATTAGCCACCCAACTGTGCATCTAGTCATCTATAGGATTTCTTTCTTATATGATAGTTTAGCTTGATAAAGTTTACATGACCACAATCTGCAGATCAAAATCAGTGAGGAGATTCTGTTGTGCAAACCTGCTGTAGTTTTTTTTAAACAAATTTTTATTAATTTTCCAGTTTTACATTTGAGTATTTGGAAAGCAATGTGGTGATTGGGTTAGTCAATAGTTCAATAACAAAATCTTTAATACATATCTCAGGTTACATCATCAAAAATTCCTTCTCTATTTCCCTTAACATTTGCTATATCATATTTAAGCTAGTAAATTTCTAATTATATCAAATTAAGTTGAAACATTTATCAATGTGTTTTTGCTTATACATATCCATATTCTGGTTTTAAGTTTTACCTAATTTTAATATTTAATTGCAATATTCCAATTTAACCTTTAATATCCATAGTATTTAATTTTCGGGTAGCCCAAATTTCCTTTATTTCACTACACAAAAGTTATACTATCTAAAATACACATATTACTTACTTAAATATATTCTTATTTTATTTCATAAACATTTTCTGTTTCTCATCCTAATACATCACCACACAAATCCATCATCTGCATTATCTGGGTTAAACAATAATTCAAAGCTATAGTCTAACTCCTCAATATTAAGCCAATTAATCTCTTGTTTTTTATTATTTTCCAACAATACTTAAATCTAATAATCAAATTCCCCTTCATCTCAAAATCTCCCTTTAGCCCATTAGTTGAAACTTTAGGATCCTCTCTAATAAATCTAAAACCCCCATTTTTAAAATCTAACTCTAGCTTTCTTTTTATGCCAACCAGGCTTCCATACCAATGCTTTTAGATCATCAGATAGATCTCCCTTCATTCTTGTGCATGTTACTTGAATTAAAGGAGACCATCTAATTGTTAATTTTTTAGAAAAACTGGCCCATTATAATCATTAAGTTGTTGCCCTGGTGGCGCAGATGTCCATATTTGCTCTAGTATAATTGTCTTCAATTTGGCCACCTAATGAGAAGGAAGGACTCACTGGAGAAGGGCCTAATGCTGGGAAAGATTGAGGGCAATAGAAGAATGGGACGACAGAGAATGAGATGGCTGGATGGAGTCACTGAAGCAGACCTGGAGGAACGTTGTCCATGGGGTCGCGATGGGTCGGACACAACTTCACAATTAACAACAACAATTGTCTTCAATTCGATCTGGTCTTCTTCTTCCTCAGGTTTCTTCTGGTTTAAGCAGAAAGTCATGTCCAATTTTATAGTTGTTGTTTGATTGTCTAAGTTTTCAGTAAGCTGTACTTGTTGATCTTTAATGCCCTCCGTCTTGCTATTACTTTCTTCCGCTTCTGTTGTTTTTTGAGTTATAGGTTCTTTAGTTACAATCAGAGTTTGATTGTCTAAATTTTCAGTACCTTGTACTTGTTGATCTTTGAAGTCCTCTGTCTTGGTGTTAATTTCTTCCACTTCTGTTGTTTTTTGGATTGTAAATTCTTTAGTTGCAGTCAGGGTTTTGCTTCATAGATTTAAGCTGGTGCCTTTGTCTTTCAGTCTAGATTTAATTATCTCAGTAGCTTCAAGATTTTTTTCAAGTATAAGTTTATAATTAGCCGAGATTTGTTGCTGGTCCTCCTCCATTTCTGACATGGTTATAGATGGTCCTTTAGTGAAGGCTATTTATTAAAAAAAAAGTCAGTAAGTGTTCACCTCCACAGTTCCTAAAAACCAACTTCACCGCCCAGCTGTTCTCTCAGCTTTTAATTTCTTTTAGATAATACCAAGGACAGATCTGAGCTATGAGTAGGTCTCTTTGTCAAGAATATTCACTTGCTGTACCAAGCTTCGCCAAAAGTCTTTTCAAATCCCAGGCTAGGTTTTTATCTAATTTAAGTTCTTTTTCATCTTTTTTACGAGTAGATAAAATAGCAAGTCCCTGTGAGAGTAGGAACTTTTTGGGTCCTCAAATATCAAGAAGATGTAAATCCAATTATTTAGTTGTTCTTTTCGAGGCTTTATTTCCCCTAGGTAGTCAGACACTGCCATTTTAGATGATGGGAGGAAGACATTCCTTTCCCTCTCTCCTCACAGGGGGAAGAAATTTCAAGAAGCTTTTTACAGGAAAATACTTGGGGTACATAGAAGGTAAGATGTCACCCAATTTGCGGTGCTTTCAAGGTGCTTGTTAGCAATTTTGGTCTTGGCTGGTAGCAGCATTAGTGATGGGCCATCTTGATGGCTGATCTTTTCCCCGTCAGTTCGAAAAGCTGTCCTCTTCACACTCGTCGCCCCTCCAGGGTGACTTCCGACCCTTTTCAGGGTCCCCTGGCAGGAGAAAACTGGACAGCGGAGAGAGCGATCACCCCGCACATCTGCTAAAGCCGCAATCGCAAACCAGAAGTCCAAACCTGCTGTAGTTTACGGTTGTGGATTCTTCACTGTCTATTTCTATGTTTCTGAATAGTACATTTCTTTTACATAAAATTACTACTTCATTTGTAAGAGCTGGAATGGCTTGGTGCTTTGCAAGTGTTAGTACTCGTTGGTGCTAACAATACTTTATGGATATAACAGATAAAATTGCTATTGGGAATAATGTGAAGGCTCTTCTTTGAGCCTAACCACAGCACAAACATGCCTTGATAACCATTTTTGAATACCATGTCATTCTCTCATGCTTAGCTCATAACTGAGGCAACTCACATGGTGTTTAACTACTTTGGTTTCAACACAGTATTTTTGCCATGAGTATAATATGGCATGCTTTCCTGATAATTTGACTGCTGATCTGTTCAGGGGATGCTGTGGGATGGTAGCTGTCCAATTTCTACTGGCCCCTTTTATTCTGTCATTTTAACACTGTCATTCCTTTGCAGCCAATAACAGAGCCTGCTTGCTGCCTATTTCCACTTCATTACAAAAGCCCCTCCTTACTTTCTACCTGTCAGCAGGCTATTTTTGAACAAAGGTATAGTGCATTCAATCTTTGTTCTGAAGTAGTCCAACTGACAGCAGCAGCACTGCAGAGCTCTCTTCCCCTTTAGCCTTGTACCTCCTCTGTGTTGATTATCTGTCAGCTGGGCATGAGCAGATCTTAACTACCTTCTGTTTCACCTTTAGAAAGATATAGGCTACCCATATACTCCAAAGGTTCAGGGGTGTCCACAGAATAGGTCAAAAAGTAAAGATGGCGACCGTAATCATCTGATACAAAGGCTTTTGGGATATGAAAGCACTGAGACGAAATGAGGTTTCCAGTTGCTAAAATGAAATATATGGAAAGTTCCAGATGGATTATTCATTCCAAAGTATTTGTTTACAGGGCTCAGGTGACTGCCATTACTTCCGGAACCAAGCAGAAGATGCTAAAAGTTAGGACTTGTTTAAAAAGTGCTTTAATCTTAAGTCAGGTATGAAGTTGGTACATGATTATTGCAAAATTGCTTGTGTAATGGCTGTGATGATGCAAAAGGCAGTGCATTTCATAAAAGATCTTTCTTGAATGGTCTGACTGGAATCATTTTAGTTTCAAATGCCATTTACATTACCATACAATGCCATTTATAATAGCTTCCTTTATTATCCTGGTTATATAATTCTGCTACTCTCTGCATGAACACCAAGGGCTTTATGGCTTTATCAGCAGCCAAAGGGAAAACCATGTGTGAAAAGAGATATAAAATGTAAAGAAAAATCCACTGAGCCATTCGCTTATAATAGACCAGTGTTTCTCAACCTTGACAATTTTAAGGCATGTGGACTTTAACTCCCAGAATTCCACAGCCAGCAATGCTGGCTGTGGAATTCTGGGAGTTGAAGTCCACATGTCTTAAAATTGTCAAGGTTGAGAAACACTGTAATAGACCTCAGTTTCTCCTGTTTCAGAATTTAACTGAAGAAACCACACATCTACCCATCCCCATGCTTCATTTAGGCTGCTATTCCTTTTTATTTTTTTAAAATACTACATATGTTTTTTCCATAACACTTACATTATTTTACCAGAGTTGGTGCTATCAGAGAACTAACCCATCAACTTTTGCTATATATTTGCTGCACTAGCTTTTTTTTTTTTTAATAGCAGATTGACTCTAAAGAAGGTATATTACAATCAGACTTCTACCAACTACATCTAGGATAAATTCTTAAATTTATTTCTTCCTTTTGCTTTCCGGGAAGAAAGAAAAGCCTTCCGTATTAATGCGGTTCGTGTACATGAGGAAACAACAGATGTTGTCTATCTAGGGTTTAAGTGCGATTTTATTGTATTAAGAATTCCCGTAGGCCTATAATGTATCATAATAGAATAAAATTCTAGATCAATTTATTTCTTCACCTAGAATAGATTTTTTTTTAAAAGAAATCCTTGCTGATTTTGAGGGGTTACTCATCTAGTCTGAACAAATATTCCGGTGCTACATTTTGTTAGGACGAATGGAACAGCTATACAAATAGAAAAATAGAATATTAATACCTTTTCTCCTGAATTTAATTCCCTTCTCTGTACTAATCATTAACTAGACAGATAGTAATAGCCACTAAATATGGCATAATGCTTCATGCTTCACTAATCTCCTGACCAAATTACTATAATGCATTATATATAGGTCTAGTTTCAAAAATCAATTGAAAATATGATTGTCAGAATCTTAGCTTCTGGAGTCAGATAGTATTAGCTTCCAACCACAATTCAAGAAACTGGAAATTATCCCTAATGTGCTAAATAGCTTGGTATTCAAATATTTTAAAAAGCATCTTTCACTATGGCGAAGAGCCACGACTATTTTGGACTATAAGATAGAGGCCATGAATATATATATTATTTATTTATTAAGTTGTTTATATGGCCCATCATCTTGCTACTGCCATGGTGACTGGCTGACGGTGCATTAAAATTCCCAAACAGTAAAATCTCAAATAAGTAAAAAAAAAAAAAAATTAAAACAAGGGTCAGTATACCATGTATCGGAAGTTCTAACAGTTTCTTCCATCTGGCAAATTGATCGTAAAAAAAAAAAAAAGCAGGAGTCTATTTAACATCCTGCCCTGAGGGAAAACCAAGGTCTTTAGCATCTTATAGAAGGTCAACAGAAGTTGGGGACCTTTAGATTTCTTTTAGCATGACTCTTTCTGTAGCTGGCTTCAAGAGTCATCTTGCAAAAGAGTCCAGGGTCTGGCATTTCTTTAGGTGATGCTTTAAAAGTTCTTATTACATTGATTCATTAAAAAAATTTCTAGTGATTTCTTATTGTACTTAAAAGAAACTTGCTACTCCATTTCTATAGGTATCTACTTGAAAAGAAGTTGAATGGAATTCAGTAAGATTTTTGTTTTAGGCTAAATCTTGTAGCATTTTCACTATCCCAAAATCAATTTTATGGAAATTCTCTTCATACTCTCTCAATTAATTATTTTGGCAATGCATAAGAAAAAAAAGTTCTTTACTTATATTAGCATATATTGATCCAAAAGTAAGCCAACTTGTGGATGAACAAAAGGTTATCCATCCTCTTACAGATAACTTCCTTCTGGTAACTATATGGATATATTCATATAGTTTTCAGGCAGCAATGTGGAAGTGGTTTGCCACCTTCAAAAATGCCTTTAGCAATAGTGAATAGTATTGTTCCAGGTATGTGTGGTATTTTAAGTTTCACTTTCAAATAATTGGGAAAATCATATCCTTACTACAGTATGCAGGAAACCCAGGAATCTATTTCTATGAATAATACCTATATTGTATGGGAATCATTTTGCACCTTTCTAAAGTGAGGTTTAGATAGTGGTTCTGGCAAGAGAGAGATCAGGGACAAGTGATTTTTGGATACATAGTTCTCATTCTGTACAGGTTAAAAGAAGTTTTAGAAATGTTTTTGAATTCCATGAATTACCTTACCTGTCCTGCAAATAGGCCACAAACCCCAATTATGCACAGGATGTTGAATACTGCAGAGCCAACAATGGTTCCAACACCTACATCTCCTTTTGTGATAAACACACCTGGGGATAGGGGATAATTTCAATGTGTTATCAAAAGGCAGACAAGATTTCTATGCAGAGTTGAACTGCAAAAAAATTGCATATTTAAACTTTGATTAAAGCAGATATGCGGAATTACAAGTGCAGCCAGATGTGATTTTTGCATGATAAAATAAAGTGGATTACAACAATATTTATGCAAAGATTTCTCAACATTTATTCAAAACATATAGACCCCTAACCAACATGTGTCTCAAAGTGAGATGATGGAATAGGCTGCCATCTGCATTTTTTAACCAGACAGAGGTGGCAAAGTTAGGGGGAATAAGTCCTGCTCCCAGCCATTCTTGCAAATAAGCTCTTAAAATGTGACTTTCCCTATTTCCAGTCTATAGATAGTCCTCAATTTATGACTGCAATTGGGGCTGGAATTGTTGCAATTGTAAAGTAAGTCATCACATGATTGGACCTGATTTTACAATAATTATTACAGCAGATGTTAAGTGAATCAGGCAATTGTTAAGTCAATTCGCTTCGCCAATTGATGTTGCTTGTCAGAAACTAGCTGGGAAGGTCACAAATTGCAGTTACGTGACTACAGGAAGCTGCAACTGTTCATAAATGTGAGCACCCAAATTGTGATTTCGTGACCATGGGGGTTTGGTATGATGGCTGTAACTTTGAGGATAGATCATATATCACTTTTTCCCCAGGCTGTTGTAACTTTGAACTGTCATGAAACAAAAAGACTATTTGTATCACATTTTCCTCTTGAATAGAGTAATATGTAAAAAGCTTCTCAGATTTGAGTGGTACTGGAAATATATTCCGGAAAAGCTGCATACGTGATTGCTTAAAGGCATAAATGCAATTATTCTGTTTTTTCCATATAATGCATGATACAACGATGGGAGATGTAAAGTCTCACATTTTTTAAACTGCACTTTTGACTGACGTGAGCTAGAAGTTTTGGTATAGACCTAAGAATGCCGAACAGGTTGTTCTAACTGCATATTTCACTACAGCAACGACCCCTGCCAAAGTACGCTGCTCCTTGCATGGCGGGAGATCTGGCAAGGAGTCCTGTGCAAACATTCCACAAAGGCGTCTGACAGCCCTGCCTGCTGCTCTGGCTTCTCTCTCTTGGTGACCACACAGAAGATGCTCCAGTCAAATCTACCGTGAGAAAGACTAGAAGTTCCCCTCACCTGATCCATCCTTTCCGAAATCAGATGCTGGAATGGGAGAGTCCTCTCTTTCAGAACAGTGCTGAACACTGGTGGACAGTACAATATTTTCTCTGTATTTTTGCTTAGTAGCAGTCAAACAATCTGGCCTTCCCATCTGTTGTTACCTATTCAGATGACTCCTATTAAAAATGCTTACGCTATTCTCATTCAACTGCCATTTCAATGCAGTTTATTTACCTCCAATAAAATAAAATAAAATAAAGCAGCATTCTCTTACTTGTTTCAGGCAAAGGTGCTTCTCAGAAATGCCAGGAACGTAATAAATGCAAGGCATGTGCTCTGTTAGTTACTACTTCACCACTTTCATGAGCTGGCTTCTCCCCACATTTCAAACACCACGTATCAAAGTAATTACCAGTTGAGTAATAAACTGTTCTTCCCATCCTTTTTAACGTAACCTTACAGCACAATTAGCACTTGAAAGCACAGGAGTATGTCTTAATTAATGCCCCTCTGTCTACACATTTTTGGTGGTTGTTCCGAATATAATATTTTCCCAATTAACAGACGTCTGCTGACAATCATACATCCATTTTCACAGAGTCTGAATGTTGGCATCATGCAAGATCCCACTTCATTACATAGGACAATCATTCTGTCACTTTTTCTGCCACAAAGGTTTGCTATTCCATCAGCATTAGCTAGTTTCAAAGACACACACACACTTTAGCAAAGCAGGAACACAGCCACAAATAGTCATTCTTATTTTTACAACTGTTATTGGTCAGAAGTTACTGGTTTTAGTTACCTATCACAGATGTAAACAGCTCTGGAGCAGAACTGCCAGCTGCCATGAATGTTGCCCCTGCCACATCTTCACTGAGATGCAAGCGCTGTGGAGGGAGTGGGAAAAAAAAATCATTGATTGACTGATATGACTTTAAAACCACTTTTAATGTTTCTCAAGGCATAATAAAGGAGATTAAAAATCTAAAAACACATTTAAAGTGTAATTAAAACACCTCAATAAAGGTAAGCAACTGTCATATCAATCAAATATTAGATGAGAAGCAAAAGGCATCTCATACCTATCTGACAAAGGATGCATTGCATGGCTTGTCAAGGGCGGAGTTCCAGAATTGGTTGAGTCATTTTCTTCATTCAGACATTTTTCCAGTAACATCAACTTCAGAGACCTAGACTGATGACTGAGTACACATTTTACCCTAGGCTAGGCTGTATTACTGATTGAGAAGTGGGAAGTTTGGTTTGGTTATCATTCATCTGTTTCCTAAATATTTTTGCTCTGTCCTACTGAATGGCACTTCCTACCAACTTCAGTTTGGTTGTTTTAGACTAGTAAAGTCATCTTGAGCAGTTTTTAGATTTGAAATGAAACAAATACAGAAAGCTTTATAATCAGAAGGTTTGTACAAATGCCCAGTATTGTATTTACTTTATAAATGTGCAATGTTCCTTAAACAATGTTCCTGCATATACACTCTGGATGAGTCTGTATTTTTTAAAGCAGTAATCAACAACCTACAGTTATGAGTCCTGCCAACCACTTCTTTAAAAAGAAAAATCTTGGGAGCTCCTGACTGTGTCATCAAAATCTGATGGCAAAATATTTTTGAAAATATGGTATGAGAGTGGGGTTGATATTAGGCTAGATATTAGCTAATAAAATAAAAGGGTTATGTAGCTTTGGAATGAGTTTACTATATTGGAATTATGTTTGACCTCAAAAAAGGTACAGAAAGATACAATTATATTCATATAAGTATAATAAGAGAAATGAAAATTTCCTCAACAGGACTTTTTAAATTTAAACAATCCAATTCAGATCAAGGCAAACAAACATATCACACAGTTAAAACTTTGCAGCAGAATTACACTGTTGGATATAGCTCATATTTTTTTATAAACACTTTCTAATGTCAAGCCTTATAGAAAATCACAACCCTTGTATAATTTAAGTGTTTAAAAAGCTAATTCCCTTGGAAAGAGCATGGAGAAAAGAAGACAGGGAACTGCTAGTATTTTAAGAGTAGTACACACATTTAATGGCATAACTATGTTTAGAAGACTGTGTACAGTACCCCTTTAGTAATTTTCCATTTAAAATACATGTCAATTTGGAAAAAAAATATCCAAATGGGACAAATAAAGCAATATGGAAATTAGAAAAAAAGTGTATTTTTCATTTAGAAAACTTAGAGTAGGGAAATGTGCATTTCACGCGCTTATGGATTATTCTTTTTCCATGTTCACTGGAAATCTGTAATGCTTCAGAATCAATTATTCTGAAAAGTTCTCTTGCAACATGCAAAAATGCCAAGGTAACACCTGTTGGTCACTTATTAAACCAGCTGTGTCTTTTTCCATATCAGTCATGTGCTTCTGGCAACAGATATGGGTGTTTTAATGAATTACTGGCTGGTGCTGCATTCATTCTTCAGGTGCCACAAAGCAACTTGCAGAATTGAATCTGAAGCATGGCACAGCCTTTAAGTTAAATATGCTAGAGGACATTTACAAGGAACTAGACATACCGTACTCAGAATGGAGAAAGTTTTTTCCATGTGTATTAGCCTTAACCTCCATGTTCAGAGAACATAAAATACAACCAGTAACATTTCTTGGGAAGCACTAATAATCAAGGCTACTCTCCTTATGTTTCTCACTGATAAAAGAAATAAGAGTAGGAAATGGTACAAATATACAGATATTCAGGAAACCTCTGCCATAGATATGAAAAATGTAAAATGAGAGATTAAATATGATTAAATGCCAAACATGATAATGTATACATTTCAATAAACATGGAAAACTATTTCCAGCAGATACTTACTTCACAAATTTTTTCCAATGAAGGAACAAAGAAATCATCACAGATAATAGCCAAAGCATAGAACATGTAGACAGCCTAAAGAAACAAAAAGCATTCCATTGAGACAAGGCAATTTAAATCATGATATTTCCTCATTTCATTCTATTAAAAGAGTTTAAAGCACATCTACCTTTTTTTTAATACTAAAGAGGAAAGACATCCTTTAATTGAGCTCAATTTATTGGTATCTCTACTTTGTTTTCTTAATATCAATATGATTAAAAATGTTATTATCACTAAAGGCAGACAGAAAAAAATACTGAATCTTTGATAACAGTACAAAGGTAGTTTCCCACTGCAGCTCTCTGGGATGTTTCTCTATGTTCCCAGCTTAGCCTATAGCTGAGGAATGTCCTGATGGATTCCCATCTAAATATGGAAAAAGGTCCAAACCTACTCAATTTCTAACCCCAAGCAAGGGCAGTAATCTATTGAGAGAAGTTGTTGAGAGAAGTCAATTACACATTTCAGCTCCCAGCATAGGATTACTCTTCCTGCAAGAAAACCAGGAATTATTAACCCAATCAGATATGCATCTGTATGCCCAGTTCTCTACATGAAAGTGGGTGGGTGAGTATCTGTATGTGTGTAAAAACAACTCTGTATATTTTCAAACATGTTTTAATTCTTTCCCTAATTCAGACCATATTCAGTCTGATGGTATAAATCTGCCTATATGGCTTTTGCTATAATCTTGAAGTAATCACTGGTAGGCAAGGTGACACAGACTCTGTCCACCTATCAGTTCCAAAATATGAAACTGGTTTCCTTGTTCCCACTTGACAATCAATCCCAAATTGTTTAAGCTGAATGTCTGAGCAATTAGAAGAATTACCCTGCAAATCACCACATTGCCTTTACTATCCTTGCTTCTTCCTTCCTTCTCCCCAGATGGAACCAACATCTGGGGATTCATCAGTATTTTATTATATTATGCACTGTATTAAGACCAAGGGATGGGACTATGCAGATTGCACCTAATTATGTCAAATAGCATTCTCTATAAAGGGATTATATAATGCACAATACACAGTACTAAAACTATCCATTTCATACCATTTCATATACATCTGGAAAAAATACTATACAATATGACCCTTTATAGTGTACAGAATTTTTGATGCTAAATAATTGTCACACATTTGAAAGTACTTGAAGTCAATTACTGTATATACTTTTGTGATGCGTAAATGGTTCTTTTTTTTTTTTTTTTTATTGAAATTTTTCAAAAGTTTTACAAATAAAAATCCACCCCCCCCTCCCCAACCACCCCCCCCCCCCCCGACTTCCCAGAACTGAATATAGGATTATTTAACAAATATTTTAAAAATAACATTTGCAATTTATAAAATAATTAATAATAATAATAAAAATCACAGTAATAATATATATAATAATAATATACATAACATAAACTTTAAAATGAATAATATATACTAAAAAAGAAAAAAAAAAAAAAGAGAAGAGAGAGAGAGAAAGAAGAAAGAAGAAAGTAGACGAAGAATAAAGCATATATATATATAAAAAAAAAAATATATATGAATAATAATACATAAAAAATGTATATATATAAAAAAAGAAAAAGAAGAAAGAAAGAAAGAAAAAACAATCATTACAAATTATAAAAAGGCTAAATAATATTTTTCCATATCCAAATTATGTTGTATAAAATTTATCCATTTTTCCCATACCGCAAAAATTTTTTCTTGAGATTGCTCCTTTAAGAAAGCCGAAATCTTTGCCATTTCTGCCAAATACGAAACTTTATGAAACCATTCTTGTAAAGTAGGCAAAGATTCCTTCTTCCAATATTGTCCTATTAACAACCTAGCGGCTGTAATCAAATTTAACATCAATATAACCTCCTTAGCATCACAGTCAATAACAATACCTAGTAAAAATAATTGCGGAGTAAATTTTACCCTTCTTTTAAAAATTCTTTGAATATTCCACCATATCTTAATCCAAAAAGCTTTTATATGCTTACACGTCCACCAAATATGGTAATAGGTAGCATCCAAATATCCACATCTCCAGCATTTCGGCTGTAGATTAGGGTACATAATGGACATTTTCTTTGGGTCAAGGTGCCATCTATAAAACATCTTATAAAAATTCTCTCTTAAATTTTGCGCTTGTGTGAATTTAACATTTCTTATCCAAATAAGTTCCCAAGTATCCATTGAAATCGTTTCACCAATATTCTGTGCCCATTTAATCATACAATCTTTAACTAGTTCAAGTTCTGAATCTAATTCCACTAAAACCCCATAAACTCTCTTAATATGGGTTGGCCTTTGATCTCTTACTTGTTTTAAAAAAATTTCATCTTCTCTAAGCCAGCCCATTTTACAATCCATCTTCCATCTATCCACTATTTGTCTATATTGGAACCATGAATAAGTTAAGTTTTCATGTGTTAATTCTTCCAAAGATTTTAACTGCCAGTCTTGGCCATCCCATCTTAATAACTGTACGTAAGAGACCTTGTCCATATTTACCCCTTTCCTTATACCTTCTATGGCATGCCGAGGTATAGCCCATAATGGTATTTTGAAGTCACTTTTATAATACTTTCTCCACACTCTTAGCAAAGAGTTTCTTATAATATGAGACTTAAAAACCCAATCCACTTTTTTATTAAATATTAAATAGGCATGCCATCCAAAAAATAGGTCCCAGCCTTCCAAATGAAGTATTTCTGTATTTGTTAAATTCACCCAATCGCTAATCAATGTCAATACTACAGCATCATAATACAATTTCATATTTGGTACCTTGAGTCCACCTCTCTCACGAAAATCTTGCATTATTTTAAGTTTCACCCTTGGTTTTTTCCCTGCCCAAACAAATTTATTAATACCTTTTTGCCATTCATCTAAATTACGTTCGTTCTTTAAGATAGGTAACATTTGAAACAAAAAAATAAACTTTGGCAGGACATTCATTTTAATAACTGCAATTCTGCCCATAAGGGATAACTGTAAATTATTCCAGTTTTTTAAATCCTTCTGTACCTCCATCCACAGCTTTTCATAATTATTTTTATACAATTTTACATTGGAAGCAGATAATGTAACCCCCAAATATTTTACCTTATCAACAATTTCAAAGTCTGTTAAGTTAACTAGAGCCTGTTTATCACCATTAGTCATGTTTTTAGCTAATATTTTGGTCTTATTATTATTAATTTTAAAGCCAGAAACACGTCCATATTGTTGAATCAATTGTAATAATTTCACCACCGAAGAAACAGGTTGAGACAAAGTAACAACCAAGTCATCTGCAAAGGCTCTTAATTTATATTCTTTTTTATTAATTTCTATTCCTTTTATTTCTTGAGACTCCCGAATTTTAATCAACAAAATTTCCAGTGTTAAAACAAACAATAACGGAGACAACGGGCATCCCTGTCTTGTTCCTTTTTCTATTACAAAAGCCTCTGACAAACCCCCATTTACAATAATTTGAGCAGTCTGTTTTTGATATATATTGGATAATACTTGTAATATATTTTGTCCAAAATTCATCTCCTTGATTAAACACAGCATAAACTGCCAATTCACTTGATCAAAGGCTTTTTCAGCATCCAAAAATATCAGGCCTGCAGAGACTTGGTTATTCTTTTCTAAATACTCTAATAAATTAATAATTTGTCTAACGTTATTCTTCATATACCTTCCAGTTATAAAACCCGATTGATCCCTATGTATAAACTGCTGCAAGATCCCCATAAGCCTGTTAGCTAAAATTTTTGCAAAAATTTTATAATCCACATTTAAAAGAGATATAGGCCTATAATTTTTAGGCAAAGTAAGATCTTGACTATCTTTTGGAATCAATGATATAAATGCATTACGCCAGGATGGAGGGATCTCTAACCCCTGTAATAAATTATTAAACAGTTCACACAACGGTTGAGTCATCTCTTCTACTAAAGCTTTATAATAAATAGATGTCAACCCATCCGTACCCGGCGCTTTGCCCAATTTCAATTGTTTAATAGCTGTAACAATTTCTTCCTTAGTAATTAAACCGTTAATCTTTTTTTCCTGATCTTCTGTTAATTTAGGAAAGTTAACTTTGCCTAAATAATTATTTATATCTGTAATTTGAATATTAGTACCCTTATATAATTTTTGATAGTATTCTAAAAAAGATTTCTTAATCAATTCTTTCTGATAAACCAATTTACCATTATAATTTATTTTATCTATATTCCTCTGTTTCTGTTTTTTTCTTAACTGATAAGCCAACCATCTCCCTGGTTTATTAGCATTACAAAATGTATTTTGTTTCATAAATAGCAAATTAGTTGCAGCTTGATCAGCCATCAGCATGTTAAATTGTGTTTTTAACAATTTTAAAGCTCCTTTAACCTTTTCATCTAAGGGATTTGAAATTAAAAGTTTCTCTTTTAATTTAATCTCCTCTTCCAAGTCTTTCCGTTTCTGAGTCTGTTTCTGTCTATGCAAATTATTCATTTTTATCAAAATACCACGCATAAAAGCTTTACTTGCATCCCAGACCATTGACATTGATGTTCCCTTGTTCATATTTAAAGTAAAATATTCCTTTAAACATTCCTTTAATTTATGAACATTTTTTTCTTGTTTAAATAAATTCTCATTTACCCTCCAGGATCTCCTATCTTCCTTCTCTACAAACAGTTCCATCCAAACTGGACTATGATCGGACAATGTCCTAGGAAAAATTTTTACATTCTTCACCCTGTTGTATAAATCTGTTGTGATCAAAAAGAAATCAATTCTTGAGAAAGATTGGTGTCTATCTGAGAAAAACGTAAAATCCTTTTCTTCTTGATTACGTTCACGCCAATAGTCTCTCAATTCCCAATCTTCTTTCATATCAAAAAAGGCTTTAGGTAATTTAGCCTGTTTAAAAAAGGTAGAAGAGCCTTTTTTGTCCATTTGTATATCTAAGACACCATTCCAGTCTCCCATTAAAATCACAGATCTATAGTCCAACAAAGTTATTTTCTGATGTAGTAACCTATAAAATTGCTCCTGTTGCTG